AGATCCTGAACTTCCTGAAGAGGGGAGAATTATGGTATAAGATTTTGAGTTTAATCCCACACTTGGCTGCTTAGAACATCAGCATGTGCATGCATGCAACTTMCCCAGCTAACCACTTGGGTGAAATATGGTTGGTGGTTGGGACACCTGAGGTTCAGATAAAGTGCTCTTGAAGCAACTAAATTTCACTGTCTTGTGATCTTGGCTTGACTTTTTGCTTCCAGACCATGCAGCTGGAGGAGCAAATACTTTGGGTTTGGTAAGATTTATGTTTATGGTCTATCAAGAAATGCACACATACTGTTTTCTATGAAGAAACTTTTTCATATTGGCTAGCTGGAAGTGAAGCCCATATTTAAAGATACCCCATTGTTAGCATAGTCTCAGGCACAATTCAGTACCACTTCTGCGGTTCTTACATGGTAAAAGTAGGTGGCTGCTGAAAATAAATCTGTATTTTACAAATCTGATCTGTGTGCTTGAGGCAAAGTTTTACATTTTATGGAGTTTCTTTGGTTGAGGAGACTCATTGGCTGTAAAATCTATTAGAGTTTTTGAGGGATTCAATGCTTTCATTGAAAGGGGTAAGTCAGACTGTATATTATACTTCAGTTTTCACAAACATGGTCACAGCCTATGTTTTTTTAAAGAAACTCTGCTGGTAACCCAGTGGAGACTTTGTTTTCCAATGCCTGCCAAAAGAACAAGAAGAAAAGTAGGAATAAGTAAGTGTTTTTCCCAACAAGAAGTATTAAATCCTGAGCTGGTAGTTTCRTGCTATACCAAATAAATGACTAGAGTGGTTCCCCCTAATTACCTGTACTGAAACTTGTGACACACAACTAACTCACACAGGATGAAAGAACTGCAGAAAGATCTTGTGCTAGATGCAACTGGATAATAAAATGGTGRGGGGGATTAAGGGTTGGGAAATTCAGGGTAATAAGTAAGGAGAAAAATAACACCCAGAGTAATAAGTATGGGGGGAAAGTAACTGTCCATACAAGTGAGTGGGCACAGTATTTTATCTGTTACTGTCACTCAGAAAGTCTTTRTTGTCACTGGAAATGTGATGTCAGTGTTCAAATGTAGTCATGGCAAATCGAARGCGAAGTGTATTATGAAATGAACAGAAATCAAAATTTAAAGCATTACTAGGCTAATATATAAATATATAAATGATAGCAGAAGGACAAAATGACAYGGACAAACTATCGTACAATCTGTTAGCTGTTTGTCAAAACACAAATTGGGCTGCCAAAGCAGGAGTTACAGTGAACAGATAAAATTCAGTATTTTCTCAGCAATGCCTGCTTAAATTATGCAGGATAACTTACTGCTGTAGTATTTTACTTAGAGTTTAAGCTAGCTTAAATGATTGAAAAAGGGGTAAGATAAGTTTTAGGATGAAAGGTTTGTCAATGCCATTACAACACACTGGTTGTGTTACAACATGCAGCTTGTTTCCTAAACCCTTGATTGCTGGAAACTGGGAGAGATGTCAGCTTGTCTCATTACAACCTCCTTGCTACCAGCTAARGTGCAATAAGGTGTCCAGCTGAATGGTCTGACTTGGGATGTCAGCTTGTGTTTTCATAATATCAGATTTCTTGCTCTTGCRTTCATCCTTTCAGGTGTCAGAAGGTAAATATTTTTAGCAAGCTGAAAGAAATAAAAGAAATCTTTTCAGCCAGGTCCTTGGAATTCTACTCTGATTTCATTATAGGCTAAGCATAGCATTTTTCYTAAAAATTCACATTTTTCAATTTATCTGTTAAGGTGGTTTTGCCTTTGAATAAAATATATTCTTTAAACAAGTGTTTAGACAGTGACAACATGCTTTAGTAAAACTCTTGCAAACATTTTATCTTTGCTTGGCATCCATCATCTACCTCTAATACGCAGTTATCATTATACATATTGTGATTGTTGAAATATTTTAACTTTTAAAGAGCTTCATGTGACAGAAACTGTTGGAGTGGTAAAGGTTGGTTTTGTCCTGACTTTCTTCACTGGATGTTTTCTTTATGGTTATTTTCTGTATCAAAGGAGCAAGCTTAAAATAAGTAACCTTATTAGCTGTGTTGGAGAATGCTATTTGAAAACTGTTAGTTGTTTATCAAAATAGTTGCTAAAATACCTATGTAGGTAAGCTTGGTTTAATTGATATAAATATAGAATTTTAATTTTTTTTTACTTTTCTAGAGCAGATTACTGTTCTACTGGTCAAATGTTTTTGGCTGGTAGTCCAAAACTTGCTCTAGAAAATTAATTTTACTTTTTATCAAGTGAGATGAACTATGGATGACAAAAAAGAATTCACAACAATCAAGACAAATTCTACAAGACAATGTCAAAAGTAAACTCAATTTCTGTAAAAGACTATTGTCATTATCCTAATTTCTGGGAAGAACAGAGCAAATAAAATTAACAGTTGAGAAGAAAAGAAACATCCTAATTATGCAAAGGGAATTTAATTACTTTAGGGTAAACTCCCGACTATGGTTTTTTGTCTGAAGCTGTGCAGCCTTTAGGAAGTAATCTGACTTATGGAACTGGAACACAGTATACCAGAACTACATTTCTCTCCTTGTCATGAAATACTCAAATCTTGGGTTCCTGCAAAGGCAGCTCCAGAGCAGGYATCCAGAGAGGGGATCAAACTCTGTGTGCCTGTTGTAATGGCATGTGCCGATGCAGCACACAGCAGGAGTACTGGAAAGGGTACTGCCAACATTTTTTTGGTTATTCATAAAGCACTTTCATGTTGTTCTTGYTCTGCCTTGTCTTCCTCCTTYCTCCCAACACATTCCTATATTTATTACCAAGGCTCCTTGAGGAATTGTAGATATTCCATTTTGTAAGGGAAAATGTATTTATCAATGCCTTTTCTTTTAAACTGCGTGTTCAGTATTAAGAATTGCTTTTTGGGTAAGGATGGATAGATAGATAGATAGATAGATAGATAGATAGATAGATAGATAGATAGATAGATAGATAGATAGATAGATAGATAGATAGATTTTTTTTTTTCATACTTAAAAGCTGACAAAAGTAAAGATACTTTTCTGGACTCAGAATCCAATCTTTCCTTTTGTGGCCTTTGTTTGAATGTTGTTACAGGTTAGATATTAGGAGAAACTTTTTTACAGAAATGGTGATAAAATATTGGAATGGTCTGCCTGGGGAGGTGGTGGAGTCACCATCCCTGGACGTGTTTAAAAAGAGATTGGATGTGGCGCTCGGTGCCATGATTTAGTTTAGTTGAGGTGTTAGGACAGAGGTTGGACTCGATGATCTTGAAGATCTCTTCCAACCTGGTACTTCTGTGATTCTGTGATTCTGTTTGAGAGACATAGATACTGATCGCAAAGAATTAAAATTCTTGCTAAATAAAAATCTTACTAAAAGCTTGGCCTACTTTGAAAATTCCATACAGTGTCCCTGTTTAATTTCACATTTCACAGTACGTTAAATATTGTTTTATCTTTCGTGACGTATGAATTTGACTATTTACATGTGATGTGGAGGTTCCTTTTCCCTGACATACAAGAGCTTTAATCAACAGGACAGCTTAAAAAGGACTTAGGCTAACATGATCCTGCAGATGGGTTTCACCCTCAGCCGTGGGCTAGTTGCTCACAGAGTGTTTAAATCAGTTGGGGCAGGAAGCTGTACCTGGTGTGGCGGGCACTGTGGTGAGCAGCACCCTGCAGTGCATGCAGAGCTTTGGGCTGCTTGCAGCACCACGGCTKTGGAGCCTTCCAGCACACACACACCCCAGCAGCTCCCCTCTGCTTCCCTGCCTTTTCCCTGGGGCTGCTTGCAGGCCTGGTGAGMGGGCTGGAGCTGACTGCTCCACCCTGCATATCTCCCCCAGCCTGCCGCCCCAGTGCTTCTGTGCGGGTCACATGTTGTCACGTCATGTGTGTGCCTTGTGTCCTGGCAGCGCCTGACATCTCGTGACCCTCCCTATCCATGCCCAGAGTCACCGAGAGGTCAGCACACGGTTGGCTGCTTCAGTTTTATTTCTGCTGGCACTCTCTCACACGAGGCTCTCCTTCCACAGCCCCCTGGCTCCTCCGCTCCCTCCTGTGGCCCTGCCGCTGTGGATGTCACACCACATGGGATAACGAGTATGCCTGGCGATGCTGTCAGCGTGGCAGCCCTCACTTCTGCCAGCTATGCTTAAAACAGGCAGAGCACCGGCAAAAATGACTGATTACTCCTKGATTGTCTGAAATTTGCACACACAGTAGTATTTTGGCCAAAATATGCCCTAAATAAAGCTGATGAAATGTACAGAAGAAAGGCTTTTTTTACTTAAAAGCCTTTCTGACCACAATAATCAATTGAATGCATTGAGCAGGAAAAGTTAAATTTAATTCTATGAATTCTCTAGTAAGAGCATTTATCAGTTACTCACTCCCTGGTACTTGGTAATACAGGCAAAGAAATTCTCGATCACATTGAGAGAAATATGAAAGAAGATGTTTAAAAAAGAGAAATAATGGTATTTGGACCTCATTAATAAAAAAAAAAACCCAAAATTCTTTAGTATGAGAGAAGATGAGTACAACATGCTGCTTAGGACTAAAAATGTAATCTAACAGGAGCTACAGGAACAGACACACCTTGAAAAACCTCAAGGCACTTGTTTAGAATCTGACTGGTATACGAAGGAACTCAGTGTTTTACTCTATGTTTTAAATATCTGGCCATTTCAGATTTCTAATGTTGCCAAATAGGAAAAATGAGGTTCGGATAGTCAGAGATTGTCCAAGATCCTGGTGCAAGAGCTGGACTGGAAGTGCTAATGGAGCTTCTTTCTCCTCAGSCCAGTAGGTTTTGCTTTTTCAAAATTGCTGAACAAACTCTATTTTCTAGTTTCTTTTCAAACCTATCTAGGATCAAATGTGAGCCCAAGTGATGAAAGTTAATTTTGACGCTTTGAATTATCTTTTTAAAATTGCTAACYAAGGCCTTTTTCTTCCCCGTAGCCTTTTCTTATTCTTATGAATCTTCACTGTTCACCAGACGTCCACACATTTCTGTGCAGAGCCTTTGTCCCTGCCTGCCTGGATCAGATTCACGTGATTCACCCGTGTCGAAGCCTCTGTGAGAAAGTGTATTCTGAYTGTAAGCAGGTGATGGACACTTTTGGAATTGCATGGCCTGAAGAGCTGGAATGTAACAGGTATTTTTCATATTGACAGGTGGTGAGAGTGGTATTTTAATATTTGACCTGGGCTGAGTTGAARATCTGTGGCAGAATGTTAAATATCRTCTTGCTATAACTTCCTTAGTATGCTGGCCCTGCAGTGCTTGTGTGTGGGACCATTTCTTTATTAAAACTTTTTCATTATTCAAACAATCACCTGCATTTTCTGCCTRTGACATTTTTTGCAACAAAGTTCTGCAGCAGTTCTTTTCAGTATTTGGATCCCTGCAAGAGATAGCTTTTTCCTATAAATTTCTCAAAGTTTAAAATATTATGTGTTACAGCATAGATTTTGRGTTGGTTTCTGATCTCTAACCTAGGGATGATCATGGTTACTTTATTAGGAGTTTTAGAAGYAACTGCTCATAAGATAATGAAATAYAGAATATTCTCYATTTGAACAGACACAGAACATTAAATAGTAGAAACCTTATCTTGTTCCTAACTGCTTGAATGTACAAACCTACTCTTGTGTTGCTCTTCCTATACTGCCTGCCAAAACTCTCTTTTGAAATGTCACCTTTTTCTCAAAGGTGTTCACATATCTGTTTCAGATCGAGGACAGTTATTACTTCATTTGGGGAAAAGATSTCTATTTCAAATGGAAACCCCTTGAAGCACCCCAGTGTAATCTTGAGATTGAGACCTCCAACTGTGGATAATTATGAATTATTAAGGCTGGATTTATTTATTAGGTTTGCTTGTTAACACACATTGGGTCAAGAGGTACAGGAAAGGAGCAGAGACTGGAAACRCAAATAATTTTTCTAACCCACATGGGGTTACTAGTCTGTGATAAGGCTAAGGGGAAGCTGGGATGGTAGTCCTGTGTATGACCTCTGGTAAAAATCACTACTGATGTGAATATGACAAGTGGTATTAATGCCATTTCCCATAGTTCTGCAGAAAAATAGAAGTTGTGGGGTTTTTAAACAAGAAGGCATTAACTTTTCCCATCTTACRTGAGGTTCTACGCAACAGCAGTGGCCCTCAGCACAGCAGATAGCTTCAAGGATTGTTTTGAAAAATTAGGACAATTACAAGTGAATCCAATTATTCAATGTATCTTTAGAATGACATTTTAAATCAAATTATGCTTTTTGCAGGATTAAGTGCAGCTTTAAATTATTTTATTACTGCTAGCATTTATTGAAAATGAACCTTTCCTGTTCATATGTGAAGTGATATCTCCCTGATAGCCAATAYTGAAAAGTCCCTGTCCATGTTCTGAGAGGTTCAGGATGTTCTTAGAGCAGCAGAGAGATCCTGCTGCTGGAGCCCACAGAAGAGGAGCTGGTGTGAGGATGAGCAATCATTGGAATACTGAGGTTCACACTTCTGTGTTCTTACAGATGTACATGAAGCCAATTAAGACAATGAATGAAGTTCATTCTGTTTCCACACATGCTGCTCCAGCCTGTGGTTGGTGAAAGAATCTGCCATAGAATCAGTTTTCTTAACAATTAGTCTGGATTTACTTGGACATCATGATAATGCAGTGCAACAGAGAACTGGAAGAGTTTTTAGCTCGAGCTGAGCTTGGAATACTGAGTTGAGGGACTCTTGTAATCATGTTTGACAAAGAATGTTGAGATAATAGAATTTTACTTTACAAGCTAGAATGCAAAACTTGTTCCTTTTAAAGATACATKTAAACTTGGAATGCATATGAACATAAATACCATTTTGAGTAAATGCTTACCTGCTTGAGTGATATAATCTYGTTTGAAGATACATCCAGCGCTGCTAATATGATATTATCCATGTAAAAAGATCACATTTTKTATCCAGTTAAACCCTGGAGCAATTGAGTCTTGAACGGTTTTTAAATGAACATCATAGAGCTAGAAAATTGCTAAAATGTTAATGATTTGTTACAGTGCTTGTATTTTCTGCCTATTTTTTCAGTTAGGTAGTTTATTGTTGACAATGAAATAGCAGTACAATACAAGAAATTATAATAATCATGTGCTAGTCATGACTTACGGTGTCAGTCTTCTTCCTTGATTGAAGCTTGCTCTTTAACAAGATTCTTTGCTGTCTCCAACAGTCTGTTATTGAAATTGAAGAAAAAAACTACTATAACTATTTTATAYACATATGTAAAAGTTTAATAGAGTTTTCAAGTGTAGAATGGTTGCAATCGGAGTAGTGTTTCATAAATTATAAAACAACAGCTAGAGAGCAGCAGTTAAATGTTTTTGAAGTCTTCTAAAATGCAGATGTTTGAAGTTTGGTTTTTATAATGCCATATGATTTTTTTTCATATAATTCACTATTTCACATTTGCAGTATCTATGAAATTTAACAGTGCTTAGGATCAGATTTTGCTCATATTTCTAAGAAGTAATTCTGGTTAAGAATGAGGGCTATTGAGATATTTCCTCTTCTGTTTATTTATTYAGACTAATCAATTGTGATGAGACTGTTCCTGCCACTGCTGCTGTAACCACAAATGTACATGGAACTCAGAAGACCCCAAGCCAGATCCGAAGRGATTATGGATTCTGGTGTCCCCGACACCTACACACTACCAATGGACAAGGCTACAAGTTTCTGGGAATTGATCAGTGTGCACCCCCATGTCCCAATATGTACTTCAAAAATTATGAATTGGATGTGGCAAAAAGCTTCATTGGAATAGTTTCAATCTTTTGTCTTTGTGCTACGCTTTTCACATTCCTGACTTTTCTGATTGATGTTAAAAGGTTTAGGTACCCAGAGAGACCAATCATATATTATTCTGTCTGTTACAGCATAGTCTCTTTAATGTACTTTATTGGATTTTTACTTGGGAACAGAACTGCCTGTAATGAGGCAGATGAGAAGCTAGAAATTGGTGAAACGGTTGTTCTTGGCTCCCAAAACAAAGCCTGTACTGTSCTCTTCATGGTTTTGTACTTTTTCACTATGGCAGGAACCATATGGTGGGTGATTCTGACAATCACTTGGTTCCTTGCAGCGGGAAGRAAATGGAGTTGTGAAGCTATTGCACAAAAGGCCATGTGGTTCCATGCAGTTGCCTGGGGAATACCTGGTTTTCTAACCATTATGCTCCTCGCAATGAACAAAGTTGAAGGGGACAATATCAGTGGAGTTTGTTTTGTGGGTCTCTATGACCTGGATGCCTCTTTGTACTTYGTGCTTTTGCCGTTGTGCCTTTGTGTGTTTTTCGGTCTGTCTCTCCTTTTAGCTGGGATTATTTCTCTGAACCACGTGCGGCAGGTCATTCAGCACGATGGCAGAAACCAGGAGAAGCTCAAGAAATTCATGATCCGAATTGGAGTCTTTAGTGGTCTGTACTTGGTGCCACTTGTAGCACTTCTTGGGTGTTATGTTTATGAGCTGGTGAACCGGAAAATCTGGGAAACTACATGGGTGTTTGACCACTGTGACCAGTACCATATTCCTTGTCCTTATCAGGCAAGTAACAGTTTCCTTTATAAATAATACTGTAAAATTAATTAGCAAAAACCCTTATGCATATCTGCCACACAATTAGTAAATTATTTTCACCTTAAGTAAGCAGTTTAAAAACATGGAGTGGTTAATACCTTTGTAAGTCAAAATCAATGGAATAATACTTCTGCTTTGAAAATTTGAATGTAATTAGTAGCATTCAGTAATTAAATTCCAGCTTGCAGCTCTAACAGAGTATACAACTTTTATGATATTTGAACTTCTTGTTACAAATTGTGTTGGAGGAGGATCATTCTTCACAATATTTGTTCCTAAAAGTAATTGCTCAGTACCTGGGTGCCCAGTATCAAAGTACATAAGTGAACTTTAATCAACTTCAGTTGAAACTGAAATAATGATTCTTGAAAATTGAGACTAAATGGGATTTTAAATGCTTGTAACCACACACTTAAAATCACTTTTTGCTTTTTTTTTTCTTCAAAGTGTGGAAGTGTAAATCTCTTGAAATTACAGAACAAATTTCACTTATATTTTTTCCATAATAGTTGTTATTTGCAGGCTGATTTTCAGAAATGCAAAGAATTCTTTATAAAACAACCAACCAAACAAAAAGCAAATAAAGAAAAAACCTTCAATCACATTTTAAATGGTGGAGGTGGTTGTATTTAACATTTGCTTTAAATCAAATTTCCTTGGAAAGACTTTTAAATTAAATCTGCCTATGTTCAATGCTCTCTGTGGATTAAATCTGTTACAGTTGCAGGGAGTTACAAGTAGTTTGTGGTTTGTTTTTTTCCATTTAAGAGCAAATATACAAGAAGACAACATCACTAAGAGAAATGCAAGTGTCTCATGTCTTCTCTCATTGCATTACACTTACCATATATGTTTTTGCTGCAATAAAAATGAGGAATATAAACACAGGCATTATGRAATGATAAGGATCAGTCTCTATATATTCTTAAATATTATTTATTATCCCCTGGATTAAAGCCAGTGTAAGCTGAGAGTAGCACAGCTCAAAGACAGCTTGGTTATTTATTTTTGCATCCAGTACAATTTCTTAACTAGTGTATTTTGACTTCAGTGGATTTTGTTGTGAGCTCTGCATAAACCTAAATGGTTCAGAATATAAAAGTTTGAAAACAAGACTTTTATGCTTTAAAAAAAATCAGTAAACATGTTTTGCAGTGCTTAAGTAAAACAGCTTGACATAATAACACAGCATATATTTTCAGCCTTTAATTAGCCTTATTGGAAGGAAGAATAAGCAACATTAAATATTAACAAAGATCTACTCTATGGGATCTGTCCCTATAATAGACAGTGTGTGCTAATTGTGGAATAGCTTAAAGTGATGTGCTTGGCCTTGGCTTACCTGAGATAGCTTGTAAACTKTTTATGTTTGCCAGTTGAAAACCAAATAAAAACAAACTGAAGTAGCTGATGTTACCTGGCTAACAAAAATAGTGACTTTGATAGATGGGTCTGGCAGATAAGCCAAGTAGCATAAATTAAATTTGCATCATGAGAGCAGAAGATAATGATCTCTCACTGAGTTAAATGTCTCAGCTCCTATGATAGAGTTCTGTGAATAGGTGGATTAATTTTGCAATAAACAAAAAGCTACTGTGAGTTCCCTGCGGCTCCTTGAAGATGCTGTCTAATCAGATTAGCTCCCAACTAATCCTTCCAGTACCTGAAGGGAGCTACAAGAAAGAGGAAGAGAGAGTTTTTACATGGGGCATGTAGTGACAGGAAAAGGGAATGGCTTTGAACTGAAAAGAGAGTAAGTTTAGATTAGATATTAGGAAGAAATTCTTTACTTTGAAGGTGGAGAGTCACTGGAACAGGTTTCCCAGAGAAATTATGGATGCCTCATCCCTGGAAGTGTTCAAGGCCAGGCTGGATGGGGCTTTGATCAACCTGRTCTAGTGRGAGGTTTCCCTGCCCATGGCAGGGAGGATGGAATTCGATGATCTTTAAGGTCCCTTCCAACCCAAGGAAGGGATTCTGTGATTCTCTGATCCACTTGCTGTTTCTTTTAAGTTGGAGGGATAAATCTTTTACACTTACCTCTGGAGGATGTTTACTAATACTATTACTCCCCAAATTACCTTCCCCTTCAATTTAAAAGAAATTTTTTCCTTCTGACTGATGTCTTCTGTGTGTATCTTCAGCTGAACTACATCCGACTTGACTGCACATGTCTAATGTTTGTCTGCAGTACAAGTCTCAGCAAAGAACAGTCATAAGGAGAAAGTCTCTCATTTGAGAAATTTACTTTTTTTCTTCATTTAAAAAATAAATCAACAAGTATATTTTCTTCTTTGCGTTTATTAAACTTTGTTATCTTCTAGGCAAAGGCACTAGCAAGACCAGAAATATTTTTGTTTCTGATGAAATACTTGCTAACATTAATTGTTGGCATATCTCCAGTGTTCTGGGTGGGAAGTAAGAAGACCTGTTCTGAATGGGCCAATTTCTTCAACAGAAACCGCAAAAGAGAGTAAGATTTTTTTTTTCTCTTGTTTTTTAAAGAGCATACTTAAATTTGGCTTTCAGATACATTACTTTATATATAGCTCAGGTAATCAAATATTATCTTCATGCTCTAAGTGCTGTTTTGGTCATCAGCAGAATTCCATTGGAGTCTGGGGAAGTTTTACACATGCAGTGACTTTTTGACAACATAATACTTTCCTCCGCTGATTTCTTTTGTTAGAGTAGAAGGTATATTGCTGTGTTTAGCTTTGGCTAATACATCTCTGATTTCCAGTTGAAGGAAAAAAGATAATTTCAGCCATCAGTTTAGTTTTTTTCATGTGTTGTGACCACTTCATTTGACACAGTGCTTAGTACTATGTTTGCTGTCATGCAATAATAGTATCCTCTTTTCTTCTCTGCCAGAGTGATCTTATTTTAAGATTAATAGTCATTGAACCCTCCTTATTGTCACTTGTATTGCCTTAGCCTAGTGTTCTTTTTTTTTGTTAATGAAACAGAAGAATTCAGTTTTATTATCTAATTTTAGCAAATTTATATTGATGGAGTAAAACAGTTTATAAATTTCATCTCMATTTCTTGTAGTTGTCATTTTTTTCAATTCTTTTTTATGCCTTGATTATTTCTTTTTAGATTATCTGTTACTTAGAAATTATACTGTGGTTTTAGATMATTTTATTTCTTTGGATTTTCCAAGGCAATTGTTCTTAAGCTCTTTTTATTTTACACCTACATTCCTCAATGGTGAATTTATAGCTTCCTTTCCATTTCCTTTATAATTTTTTCTTGTGTTTCAGATGTTAATTGCTTTTAGGTACAAGGATTTAAAAATAATGCATTAATTTTTATAATGCTTAACTTTTTTCGTTTGAAGGAGGTTGACTATAACTGAAGTTAACTTGGTAATACAGCTGTTTATGAGCTAATCCTTCTTTTCTATCTTAGATCATTAATCACTATAGTCTTTGAACCTTCTTGCAGAAGTAAGAGATCTGCTTTATTTGTTTGTTCCACAGACATAATTACTTTGGAACCATAATAGTCARATTTTTTTCTCCTCTTTTCACATATAATTTTTTTTCCTGTGTTTATTAACATCCAGCTCAGATTGCATCACTGGTTGTTGTTCTTTCAGGGTTTTGTGTACTAGTCTTTATTATATTATAGCTATGGTCTGCTTTGTTCAGTCACGTGCTTGTATTTTCTTTCAGTCCAATCAGTGAGAGTCGAAGAGTGCTGCAAGAATCATGTGAATTTTTCTTGAGGCACAATTCCAAAGTTAAGCATAAAAAGAAGCACTACAAGTCAACTTCACACAGACTGAAAGTAATTTCAAAGTCAATGGGGACCAGTACAGGTGGCACAACAAATCATGGAACTTCTGCAGTAGCAATCACTAATCATGATTACTTAAGCCAGGAAACTGTGGCAGAAATTAAAACYTCTCCAGAGACATCTGAGAAGGAGATAGATGCAGAAGGAGCATCAGCCAGAAGAGTTGAGGAARGTGAAAACAGTGGAGATCAAATGTTATCTGGTTCTAAATTGACCGTGGATCAGGTGGAAAGGAGAAACAAAGTTGATAGCACATGTCATRTGGGTAGCTTGACTGAGAGCATGAAGAGAGTAGGTGAAGGAAGGTAAGGCTCCTGARCTCAATCTTTTCTTTGTTATACACATTACCACTATTTTTRTTAGTTTTCTGTTCCTTCTCTCTGAGRAATCAGGATACTCTCAGTATGCAGSTGACCCTCAGGAGCTGTCAAGAGAACTTGCAGACTGTGGCCGTGTATCTTTAGCATATGGGCTATTTTGTATTTTTGTGGGATTCTTTTCCTTTTAAGCATTGTATGCTGGAGCTTCAGCTTGCAGGATATTCTTGACTTGTTRAACACTGGCCCTCAAGAAATCTGTGACTGCACTGCAATCACTTTGAGAGGTGGCAGGGGGTCTGAAAAAGAACAATGGTGACTTGWAGGCTTGGATAAGTGCAGAAAAGAATACAGCTGAAAATATATTATTATTTCACTACTCAGTTTTTTTCTCAGTGTAATGGAAATTAAACTGTGCCTAAAATTTACTGTCTGTGTTTTATTTTTCATTACCTACAGAATAACTCCTAAAAATGGTTTTAGTGAATCTCCTTCACTACAAAGGAGCTGTTCCCAAATACCTGATGTCTCACAGTCACCTTCCGTATCACTACTTGTCTACTCAGCGTCAGACACCAGAAGAGAGTTGGATTCAGGAAACAGTTCTAATCCTTGAAAGATTGAAATTTTGTATGAACATTTGCATTCTATAAAACTGACATGAATTCTTTGTTACATTGGAAGTAATGGATATTCTGTGCCTTATTAAAAAACACACATATCCTGCATTGCACTTAAAAAATGTATGTTTTGTTGTGGGGACAGCTAGCAATAATGTACTGTATTTAATCCTCTCCAGGACTAATGGAAATTGAAGTTCTATAGGACATGGCAATAATGTAAGAAAAATATGAGAGACAAATATTGTTCCTTRTGTAAAGAATACTTTGTAACGAATTGCATTAAAATAATGCTTAGAAAGCACTGTTACTTCTAAAGGTATAAAATTCCATCTGCCTCTTCAATATTTTTCAAAATATGTTAATTCTTTCTCTTTTTTACTGTCTCTTAAACAATAGTATCACTTCAATAAGGGATACACAAATTTCTAAATACTCTCTAAATTATGTATCATGCTGTATCAGTTATAGCACTGGTTTATGGTAGCTTGTACACTGAATATGAAAGGAAATCTGAAATTATAGAAATTTATTTTGTACATAAAAATGAACTTTGTAAATAAGTGACTGCATCAGGTCAATCTTTAGAACTACTGTTTTGTAGGTATTGTATRAACTTAGAAGAGTTCATGTGCTTCCATTAGAGTGTTGCCAAAGCCGACACTCCCCTGGTGATCAGCCAACGTGACTCAGTTCTGAGAAATCAGGTTGTACCTTTATCCATAACATGCACTGATATTTGGGGTGAGACGGGTCCTGCACAGGGRTGATGCAGGAGGTGCAGCAGTGTCTCAGAAAAATGCCTCTTGGAGCCTCTCCTGGCATGGTGTTCCAGAGGCCAGGCCGAAGGAAACACCTCACACTCCTGGGCTTGGTGGGCAYAGTCTGACCTACAGGCTTTGGGACTTTGTCCTGAGCTGCAGCAAAAGCTCATCTCACACTGTTCCTGTGCGAGTAACTTCATTTTTTAAATGCTATAGAGAAATATCTTGCAGATAACTGCTGCAAATAACTTGAGTTATTAATATGCAGGCTTCTTTAACAATCTATTTACTCAGAAGACAGCCTTAATGCTTTTCCTACCAAGTCTAATTTTGTATTATGCTACAGCAATATATTTTCTYTAAACCAAAAAAGCCTTAATACATATAGCCTTTCTTATGATAGGTGGTTCTCAAGGGCAGGTACTACTGATATGTATAACAATTTTATTGTCTGACTTCATTTGAGTCAAGATTTTTTAATAGCCAATGGGTTTTATGACTTGAGATAATTTGGAGACAGAACTTGCTGTTTTCTAAACCCAAATATTGGTGAATTTTGTAAGACTGTCCAGCATCTTGCATTTGATCACTATTAAGAATATTTTTCAATATTTTGATATTACACAGAGAATTTACTGTGTTTTAGTTTGGACAGTGTTCATAGTGATGCATTGAACAATGAAGATTGCATGAAACAAAGGACATGTAAATGCTGGAACAGCAGGAACTGTGGTTCTGATAAACCAAGGTTATTTGTTTTATCCATCATGCATTAAAAATTAAATTTCTTTATATTGCAGTGTCTGTATTTTAGCTTTTGTAATTTATTGCCTTCAATAGGATATGCTCTTTCTTTTGGAATGTTTCCATTAAAAGTACACAGAATTCTTGTTGCTGAGAGGACAGTAAGAAAGATATGAAAAACCTCCTGTGAAAAGGCACACTAAATACCATAGATTTTTCTAGTTCTGTTTGTAACCAGGTATCTTTTTACACATGTTCAGTCATTTTGTTATTACTGTATTTGTTAGTAATAAAATATACTGTTGTATATTAAAAGCTTCTGAGTGGATATTTCTTAGTAACTAGACATGGCATATTTGTTGCTCTACTACTACAGTAGTACTTTTGCACCTAAAGCACAAATATTTCTTAGTAGGGCTGTGTGAATTAATAGGTATTGCAATGTTTTTATTCTCCTGTGTGAGACAGAACAATGCTGGGAATTGTTCACATGAGCACAGACTTATGAAAGAATAAGAAACTTGAACTAGCTCTTTCACCCTAATATTTACAGCATTTTTTCTTTCACAACTTCTAGTGACCTCTTTTAGATTATGTAGAATATGTATTTCCACATTGCTCATGCTGCCACCTTCTTAAAATATTGACTTTTAATTTTTTAATGTTATTCCCTCTTTTTAGGAAGTTCTGCAAAAATTGCTTTTGTGGCAACTGCTCTAAAAGGGATAAATACAAAGTAATTTCAAAGTCATAGCAATACTGTGGGCTTARAAATAGATGAACTTTCAAAGAAGTGTGAAATATGAAGCATAATCAAAACATTGACTGGCAGTGAAATGCATCAGTGGTAGATTGAGACTGTAGCACTTTGTGTGTTCCAGGGCAGCTGTACCAGGAAAAACAGATTCTGAATTCCCAGGGTGATCCTTACAGCCAAAGAGCTGTGACCTCTCTGGGTGCTTTAACAGTGAAGTACCCGAGCAGAGGTGGAAAGTGCTGTTTGAATGCTCACAAAAGTGATGAGGGCAAAGAAACCGAAATAAAAGGGGCACAGAGCTGAATCAGAGCCTGGAAGACTGACTGCGTTAYGGTGAGAGGCAGTGGAGAATCTCACAAACAGCTTCTCTAACAAAAGGTATTTATTTATTTGCTTTTCTCWTTACTTGAATGAAGTTAAAACTCAAACCATTCATGTAAAAGGGCTTTTCTGAACCTGTGAGAATTATTTCTCCATCAACTGAAGTTGTTTAAAGAAGGATGGCAATCTTCTGGAAGAGGTACTGTAAATCAAACTACTTACATTGACAGAGCCATTTTAGTCTTGTTTGGTGCCACTGTTTGCAAGAAGTTAGTCTGTAGGAGACTGACAACTTCTCCAAACCTGGAATTATGTGTGTCATATAGTCTTCTTTCTCTGAATGGAGCTGTCATAAGTAATTTCAAATTATGCATTGCACTGAGTTTCCAGGTTGCATATAAAATCTTTTAAAGGGCAAGATAAATTTAAAATATAAAATCATATTTGATTTGTGAAATAAACAGGACCTTAAATTACAAATACGGTACTTTTATGGTACATGTATTTTATTCTGTCCCGTACTGTATTTTACTATTTTGCTAAATGTGTTTTGTGAAAACCAGGGTAGACTTCACCTACAGTATAAATCTACGCACATATTTGAAAAAATTAATTGTCTAAGTTTGAAAATAGAAAAAAATGTTTGTAACATTTAAAAAGTGTTATTACCAGAGAARAAGAAAAATACATGCAGTACTTAAGACCTCTTTAAATCCTTTTAACAATTTAACAATGGAGCACGAAAAAGCTGAAGTATCACTATTTTCTTTGACAACAGTTCAACTGATTTACARAGAACTGTATCTCCTTTTTCCTTACAGGAAAGAGAATATATTTGGTTTAAACAGTGAAATCTGCTTGAAATTCAGAAGCAAAATAGAAAAAAAAAWAATATGAAAAGTTGAACTTCTTTTGTAAGTTTAGCATTCTGCAAAACACTGAAAAATGCAGTAGCTGAAGAGGATGAGGGATCCTGTGAAGTCTGRCCACCCACTCTCAACGTGCTGTTTCAGAAGGCTGCACATCAAAGGAGAAATGCTGCATCCTTCCCTTCACACTGGCCACTTGTTGGATCAGTCTTTGAAGGCATCTGGCTGCTCTCTGCCTGCATTCGCTGGTAAAGCTCCCTGCCAGTACTAACCATTACTGGTATTTGTGGTAATTGAGATGGCCGGCACCACAGGCACTTCAGAGTCTCATGAGAATAAATGTTATTTCCTGCATGTTACCTTTTTTTTGCACTGATTCTTTCACTCTTTTACAGTTACCATGCTTATATTTTTTAATGGACTAGAGTTTAATTAAAGCAACTTATACCACGTGTTCATGAGCTTTGTGCTTTGTATACCTTGAAGTGGAGCTCAGAATTTGTTTCTGATTTACATCTATGAAACCCGCTTCTGTTTATTAACTGGGTTTTGCTTCCTACTAAAAGCACTTGATATTAAAAGTATAATTAAAAGAGTAAAAACATGCCATGACATTTATATCTGAGCTCTTTGTTGATGTTTATTCCCCGCATTTCAACTTGGTTCACTGAAACAAAATGTAAAATAGAAGTTTGGTTTATTTCAGGTTTTACTAGTCTAAAGTAATGGCCTATGAGATCTTTAAACAAACAATGATCTACCTTCATTAAATGGGTCACAGCTGGTTTCTTAGCACRGACAGGAACTGGAGATGGGAATAGCTCTTGCTGTTTGGAAGGAGGCACTTTTTGTGGGAGGGCAGTGCTGAACCAGCACTTGGTACTGGGCAGAAGTGATGCAGAGGGACACTGATCCTCCCTCGCAGAGAGCACACTCAGGTACAGCGGGATAGTCATGAAAGAACATCACGTATTTTAAGGGGAAAGGTATTTTAGGACTCATTTTTGTGCTAGAAGGTTAAGACAAACAGCAAAGAGACATTTTATTTGCATTGAGTAGGTTTGTCAGAGAGGTGAGGGTGGGGTGATTACAGGAAAAAGGATGTTCCATATTGGTTGTGTATGAAGGGTTACGAAGAGAATATGTCCCAGTTTATCTTCCTGATATTCTCCCTTACCACATGAAACTGGATCACAGTTATTAATTGAAGGCTCAAGTTATCTAGGAAGCATTCTCTCCAGGCTCAATTCTGGTAGTATCATTCCTGTTACCTGAGAGTTCATGTGAGTCTTGAACGACCAACGATGGAGGATTTGAGGAACCTGGAGCAGTTGACCACATTCCTTCGCACTGGGTTTAAGTCACTGATGTTGCCCACTGGACACAGTCCTACCTGGGACTTGCTCTCCTTCCAGATTCCCATAGGCATGCCTGTGACCCAGACTTCCAAATAAAGAAGTGGATGCACTACAAGGATTAATAATCTAGACACATGTTATTCTGTAAAATGTGGAGACATGGCCCTGACAGGTGTGATATGCCAGTGAGGGGATGAGATGCAAATGTTTTGGGCTGGCTGAAGTCAGGGCTCCACCATGGAGATAAATTTATTTTTCTTAAAGTTTTTCTTAAAATTTTAGTAGGCAAGATTATCCTRAGAAAGACACCAAAAGATGCTGGTAGTTGGGATGAGGTTCCCAATGGCGAGAAATGGAAAGTCACCAAACCAGTAGAAAAACCCAAGAAAACACACACACAAAAATATTTTTTTAAAAAATGAAAAAAAAAAGACTGAGGACTTTGCCTTTTAAATTAGTGTAATGTCAACAGCATTTTTAAGTCACACATCCTGAAAGTTCATCTRCTTGGCAATGGGAAATTATAAGATTTTTAATCAGTGAAGAGGTCCTGTAATTATAGCAAAGTTACAAGGATAGAAGAAGGAAACCACACTACTAACAAAGCAATGCCTGACAAAAAAAAAGTTAGATGAGCACCTGCTGTAAAAGTATAACTTAAAGAAGGGCTTGAAAAGGYATTTTTTGTCACAGGAACCTGATGGGTCTTTTACTGTTCTGGCCAAACACCGTTTCATCTCCACATAAGCCAGGGATTCAGGTGCTTGATTCTCTCCAGTGCCATTGTGCCAGTCAGATGTCAATGCAAGTCAAGTAAGATTCCTACATTAGCACATAAAACAATTTTAATGCAAAGTTCACCTGCTGAAGTGTCCTCAGGGCTAAAGGATGACCCCACTGAACACTGGCGCTGAGCCTCACTGTGCTGACCCGGCAGCTCCTGTCCATCCATGCCCTTTTGGTGACAGTGGCTCATCTGTGAGCAGAYGCTGTAGGTGCTGCCTGGCAGCTCCACAGCCCTGCTTGCCCCAAGCCRTGGCACAGGTGAGTGTGGGTGTGAGGTTCAGGTCACAGCAATGTCACGGCCTTCAAGCTCCACCACTGCAGGAAGCAGAGCTGCAGCCATCAWGTGTTCCCATCTGGCACTGTTGTTTTGGCTCTGTTTGTCTCTCTTCTGAGTTTTGGGCTGATTTTAATTTGTTTCTTTGACCAATCTTCTTGCATCCACAAGCTTCTGTGCATTTTGTGTGTGCTCATTATGGTGGCTATAGATGTCTGGTTTCTGTAAAMCACCTTGGAGGGCTACAGAGCCCCGCCTCAGCCCTGCTCATAGCTTGCTCATCCTGAGGAACTCYTTTTCAAAAGGATTATTGGACACAAATAAAATAAAACATTTCAAAGTCTATTCCTTTAATTTTGGGATTATCACTAATTCGAGGTAGTACCTTCCAAAACTGGGAGGACAAAGCTGTGGCAGTGCATTTGATGAATGGTGTAGAAAAAACACAGATTGTTCCCTTCATTAGAAGAAGCCTTYCAGTCTGAATGGAGCACTGTATTTCATATCCTAATAACCATGTATTAGCAAGGATTTAAGGAAAGTTAGCTTTTCAGTTCTGCATAAAGCCTTTCTATTCATTGAGCTTTCATGAGGTAGCCAAGTCATTTTTCTACCATTGACTAATTCACAGCCACTCTAATGAGCAAATGTTCTTCTTGAGACTCAGCTCTCCCCTTGCACATCATGATTCACTGGAGACCCTGTGAATTTAACTTAAAACTGGACTGAATTTTCCCATCCCATTCTGTCGTGCACAGAAGTCCTTGAACAACCCAATCTAAGTGGATCTGCTTCAACCAGATGTGCTCCAGATTCCCCTGCAGACCCAAATATTTCCATGACTGCAGCCAGGATTGCAGCTGCTCTTGGGAGCAGACTTGCAGAGGCACAGACCAAACCCCTTCAGGATCTGAAATTTGCAGCCAGCAATCAATGGAAACAGTATGGGCTTTTCATCATAAAGTTTACACTGTGGAAATATCTGGGTGTCCTGAGTTATCCTTTAWCAGTGAAGCAGGCAGTTCTCCCAAATATTTTATTATTCTCCCAAAAATTTTATTAAARTTTATCTCTCTCTGTTTGTGAACAGTGTTTAGTTTAAGATATTCAGTGCTTCCATTATTATTGTAAAAGCACAGCTATAGGGAAATGGAACTATAAATCAACTGATGGCATGGTCAGAAAAAAACAGATCTGCCTGGAACCATTGCAGGCAATGGAAGGAGCTGTTCCCATAAGTTTTCCCTGGTATCTGACCTATGTCCTGGTTTTGACTTGTTGGAGACAAAGATTTATCTCCATAGRAAACATAATGAATATGAGTAATAAAAAGTGCTCATTCTCTCATGTCATCTATTGTGAAAAAATACATTTCCTATAGTAACATTCTGAACTGCCATGTGCTTATTTAGAAAAAAAGAATTAATACTTAACTCCAGCACTTCTTTTTCTCACACTCAAAAAATGCTCTTCTGTACATGAACACAGGAATCCTCTTTTGCAGACAAGCCTCTGAAGGGTGAGCACATGCTCCAAATTAGTTTGTAAGATTCAAATATTAGGATGTGTACCTGCAAAACACTGCTGTGGCTACAATGCTTATCATTTTATGTAGATGCTACTGGAAGATTTTTTTAAATAGATATATCTGTGCCAGTAAAGCAGTAAAATAGAGGGAGAGATGGTTTAGATTTTTTTTTTTTTTTTTAATATTAGGCATGCTATATGAATCATATATTTAAATTAATAGGTTTTAAAAGGGAGTAAGACCMCAATCCCATTGATTTTTATGCAGTCCCAAAGGCTTTTTTTTATGGAAGAAGTTGGAATCCATTTCTTAAATCTGTAATAAATTACCAGGGAGCCCTTACTTTGGTTTTCTTCTACAGCAGTACAGACAGCTCTTTGTCTCCTTGATCAGACAGGCAGCCTGCAAAGAGCCATTTGAAAAATTCAGCAGTTTTCCCTGATCTCAGCCTTTTACACCAACTTACAACTCAACCTGAAATATGAGTAATAAAGTGAGCAGGATCGAAATGATGAGTTCAACAATCAAAAGTGCCACTGACAGATTGGCAAGGATTGTGAGTGTTGTGATGCTGAGCATTGCAGTGTTAAGCTGGAGTGCTCTGCTGTTACCCTGGGATATAATGTGCTCCCCTGAGCGATGCAGAAACCAGGCTGCCAGCCAAAGTCCAAATCCCCAGACATYCCCAGAACAGGGAAATGTATAAAGGAATAAGAGATAAAGGCAGACAAAAAGTTCAGGTCTTGGCACTTACCTTACCGGGCCTCTTTTGTCTCAGGATGTTCAGCCTTGAACTTTCTGTAACATTTAGGCACCTAAGTGTGTTGTTTCTGGTTCCCTGCAGTTATTTCATGGTGTGAAGACTAAGGGCTGAATAACAATTAAATTGAATAACAATTATTTTCTGGTTGAATTTAAATCAGTGTGCTAACAAACTGTTCATAAACTGGAATACATTGCACAGGAAAGGCAGAGAGACCCAGTGAACCCATGGGCAGTCCCTTGAATTTAAATTTGTTATAGCTGAGGTGAATGGAAACATATGTGCTTATGGGAACATCCTCCTCTCCAGACTTGTGTGTCTGGATTTTTGGGATGCTGAGAGGCTGTGTGAGGGGGAGCAGTATCTCAAGCTGCAGCAGAGACTGCACTTACAGCATCAGCCTCATGTGTGAGGCCGTGACTGTGCCATGGTGGCCTTGTGTGAAGCTGCCTAGGCTGTGCAGGAGCCGACTGACCATCTGGGAGATTTTAGTGACATTTAAGTGGTGGATGTAGCAACTCATAATCTTTGCTGATATACTTGTGTGGCTACATGCAAAAGACACAGTCTATRTAATATGGCAGGATGGATAAAATGAAGGAATCCCTAGCTGATGTAATATGGATTGTGGTCTGAGGACACTCAGGCAAGTTTACCACCACAGCTCTGTTTAGCTGCAAAATAGTTTAGGCAAAGCAGATGAGTAGTTCTGATTCAATTTGAGTATCTCACCAGCATTCAGCAGTGGTTGGTRCCCTCAGAAGCATTTAAATGTATCAGAAGCCACAGAGCATAAGCCTAACAGATGGCAAGGCTTGCCTGGACTGAAGCAGGCTAAGGAGGATGTTGACATTTCTGTTCTCCAGATGGAAATGCACACTGCAAGTCAAATGAGTGTGAGGAGCTGCACTCACCACGGCTCAAAGCAGATGTCCCACCATTGTTTGCTTAGACCTTCTCTTACAGCACTCCTCAGTTGGCTTCCTCTCGCAAAGCCATCTGGAATTTCTAAGCTTCTAACCCACACTCAAATTAATGGTGAGCAAACCCAGCTGGGGAAATAATTGTGGATGTCTGTGCGAATTTTTTTCTCTAGTGGTTGTCTTGGGAAGGTGTGCAGCGCTGCTGCACTCTGTGCTTCAGCTGTTGCAGCTTGCCTGAGGAAATTARTTCTGTAAAGCAGGAGTTTGGCACCCTGTGAAGGGACACACCTTAGCAACAGCCTGTGTTGATGCTGGGCATCCCCAGCCCTTGGTGAGGATGCTTGTGTGAACATGCAGGTGACACAGAAATCCAGCATTTCCACTTTCACAGTACTGCCACCAGCCTGGGCCAGAGGCAGCAGAGTTTRCTGACAGCACTGCAAAATTGCTCAATGGAACCTCTGCCTGTGTGTGTTTGTGGATGCTGACTGAGGCCGTCACCAAAGCAATTGTTACCATTAAGGATTTACATAATTCCATAAATTTTCCCAACTTGTTTCGGGAATCATTATGACTTACCAGCTGTTTTTTGAAGTTGGCAGGGCGTAGCACTGCCCTTCTTCACAAGGTAGGAGCTCTCACCTCAGCAATGTGGCTGGCGCCAGTCCCAGTTCTCAGGACAGCGTGTGATGGGGTTGATGACAGCAGCATGACTGACTTGTGCTGTAAATCTCACTTCACTGCTATTGTTCCCYGAGTACAGACATGGAAAGAGGAGAAAGGCAGAAGTGGCTTTAAGTGCAGAGCCACATGAAGGGGTTCAGTCTACACAAAAATGCGGTTCTGTGCAGCCTATATGAATGACTCAACTTCTTCTAGCATTCTTTCCTGCAGGAGCAATGTGTGGTTTTGTTAAATACTTCAGAAAAAAAAAAATGTGTAGAAGCTTATCTCCCCCTTCTGGAAACTCTACCTCTACAAATCCCACGATGTTTGCTGTATAGAGAAGCTACCTCTCAAACAGTTGTTGTTTCTATTTTGAATTCTTGAGGACATATCACATCCTTTATTTTATAGTGCTGTCATTTCATCAGAAAGATGAAAAGTAAAGTATGAGTTTAAACGAAAGCAAAATAAGATGGTTTACAGTGGGTAGCCGAGAACTTTCCTGCCGTTAATGACTTGACAATGTTCAGTCTGGCAATGCCAGATGTTTAAAAAAAGTCCAAAATCTCCTGTTGTTCAGAGGGATTCTGTGCCCTTACCTTGCTTTTGTTAAAATGAAATCAGTCATTGATGCTCAGCTGATATCACAGTTTGCCCTCAYGGTGCATCAGGATCCCGCTGCGGCRTTAACGSGGCTCCTTGCCGAGACAGCTCCTTCATCGGAAAGGAGTTCCCGACTGCCGAGCGAACACCTGAAGACGTGGAAGGGAGCTTGAACTTGCCCGGGGCTCCGGGAAAGCCGGGAGGGGCCCCGCAGCGGTGCCACCGCCCGGGGGCTCCGCAGGGCCCGGGGAGAGCTCGGCGGGGCCGGCCCGAGGGGCGGGAGCCCCCGGCCCCGTGCCAATGGCTGCGGGGGGATGGCCCTGCCGGGCCGTCTCGCTCGGTTACAGGATGGAAATTCCCGGCCTCCCCGGGGAGGGAGCTGGGGCTGCGCGCTCTGAAAGGCTCATTTATCCCCGCGCTGCCGCCCAGAGCGGCGGACCCGGGCTCCTCCTGCAGCCTGCAGCCTGCCCCGGCCCCGCACCATGCCCCGCACCGTGCCCCGCACCGTGCCCGGTGCCCCGGCCGCCGCCGCCCCGCTGCTGCTGCTGCTGGCGCTGCTGCTGGCGGCGGCCCCGCCGCACGGCGGCTCCGACAGCCCCAAGGGCAAGCAGAAGGCGCTCCGGCAGCGGGAGGTGGTGGACGTGGTGAGAGCGGAGGGGCCGGGAGCGGGGCCGGGGACCGGGACAGGGACGGGCAGGGGGTTGGGGGGCGCCGTGCGGGCGGGAACGGCTGGAAGAGTGGCGCGGACGCTTTTTTGTTGCAAAGATGTGAAGAAAGCGATAAATCAGAGGCTTTCGAAAAACCTCTCGGCCGCTCCAGAAAGGGCAGCGCCGRTCCCGCGCCGCTGGGCATCTCTCTCGGTTCAGTTAATTATGCCCTTGTTGTGCTGAATCAGGAAAATGCCGAGAAGGGGCTGGACGGCTTTGACACAAACCGCAGGGTTTCGGATGCCGGTGCGTGTTTTTGTGTTTTCCCCATCGGGCAGGTCGGGGGGTGCTGCTGGAGCCCCCACTCCCCGCCGTGCCCGATGGCAGCGGGAGCCGAGGCAGCGCCGTGGGCTGGAGCCTGAGCTCAGCCGACTGCAGGGACAACGCCGAAATCTTAGAGCCCTTCCCACATAAGTAGTAAATACTGTTTATTTCATTCCAACATAAGCAGTAACTGCTGTTTAGCTCCTAAAAGGCTAGTGCATAAATAGTAATGAGAGAAGTACCCAAGATAAAAAAAAAAAAAAAGTCTGCTCTTCAGCAGATACTCTGAAAACTGTCTGCATGTTTACTGCAGCCACCTTTCCTTGGACTCACACGGATGCATTATTCCCTTTGGCAGCAGACACTGCACACCACTGTTTGCAATTGCATTGCTGCTAGAATGCGTTGGGACTATCCCATCTCAGGGATAGATGACAGGAGGGAAATTTTCCAGTCCTTGGAATGTAGAAAGCAGATGTGAAAGTATTTCTGTGAGCTGCTGGGCTGCTGTTCACCTCCTATAGAAAATCAGTGGTATGGCCATTTCTTCCACGATCTCCAGAGAGATCCCCTAAAGTGACACGCTGGAAGCACCACTGAYAGCAAAGCTCCTTCCCTTTCACWCTAGTTCATTGCCTTTTCACTTTTRCTGTGAAAACTGAATYGCAATGAGAATAAGCAGTTTGTACACATGAATGAGCCTACATTTTCTGTTTGAGCAATGTTTTGGGGTCCCTCAGTTCTTTGGAGTTGCTTGGTGCTTTTTGGGTGCAACAGAGTGAGCAGCAAAGAGCAGGTAAATCAGTGGCACAGCCCAGCTGCACAGGCTGCTGCAGCAAAAGCTCTGCCAGGAGAGAGTGAAGGCAGGATCCTTGCCTTCAGTGAGGAGGGATCCTGCCTTCAGTGGACCTTTAAAATGTGTTTTATGCATTTCCAGCTTAAGAAAGCATGAAAGACTTGATTTGGCAGGACAGACAATTTTAGTTGGAGTGGAGCCCAAAGCCGTGGTAATTCTTGTGCTCCCATTTATTTTTTGGGAGCCATTGTGCCATGGCTGAGGTGCTGTCCCTGTTTGTGACAGATCCTCTGTGAAGTCAGGCCAGCTCCTCATGGTGTCTCTGGAGATGGGGGGCAATAGGCCAGAGCTTTGGCCTGCCCCCAGCTCTTGCCTATTTCCACATACAGGATTTCTGTGGTGAGTAACCACATGCAAAAGCCAGAACCAGTCACTCTTACAAAGAGAGTCCAGTGGGAAAGCAACAGCAAAACCAGATACCTGGTGCTGTGTGAAATAGAAATGTCCTTGCACTGTTCTCCTGGGTTGGTCTGTGCTTTGTCAACCAGCCCTCTCTTCAGCTAACTTTTCTAAAATGTGATTTTCTTCATTAAAATATTCCACTATTTCCACTGCCTTTAKCCAGCAGTGTTTTCTTTGGTGAAGGTAGTAAGGGAAAACGAGCAACCATCAGTCGAACCCTCCTCTTACTGCTTGCTAGACCTCTCCATATAGTCACTGATCTTAGTTTTGGAGTGGCTCCAACTAAGCCTGTGATGGCTGTGCTGGTTTTTGCACTGGAGTCTGTGAATCAAAGGCACAGCCCCAGTGAAGAAAATTCACCAGTCCGACAAAGGAGAGAGGGCAGGRGCTGTAGTTCACAGCTTCTGCAGTGCAGATGGACATGGCTGGCTGAAAGGCTGTAAGGCTGAAAGTCACACTACCATGAGGGGGAATAGTTTCAGCACTGTTAGTTTTTTTTTAAACAGGTGGGGATTAGGTGGTTTAAAATAGATGAAGATGAGTAAGTRTGAGAAAATGGAAGAGCAGAATATAGTTATCTATGAGGATTTGGGATGAAGTTTGGAGGAAGCAGTCAGTCATCAGATGGGAAAGAGCATATGAAATAGAAGCCATGGCCACCCCCTGCAGATTCCTGCTCAGCATTTCTGTGCCTGCTGATACCCGTGCCCCTCTTGCATCCCAGCACTCAGGGTGCTGGGGGAAGGAGCTCTGGGCTTCACAAACCTACTCTCCAAGGTGGGCGATCCCAGCTCTCATAAAGTATGAAGGCAATGTTAACATTGGAATGTTAATATTGTGTGTTAACATGGAATTTGAGAGGGCAACATTTGACCTTTCCTAATATTGTGATGCTAGAAAGGATGTTAGTGTGCCATCCTCCCATGTGTACCTTCTCACTGCTACAAACAGGGTTCCTGAGTTCAGCATTATTTCAGGGTGCAGCTTCCCACATCCATTTGTGTGCGTTGTGGAGTCTGACTTGTGGGACGTGATTATCACAATATCGTTCTGTCCTAGAGGAGCAGCGACAGAAGAAAAGTGGTGGGGTTAATGTTTGCCCTCTGTGAAGCGGAAAATTTTCTTTACTTTCAGGAAAAAAAGAAAAAAAGGAAAAATAATAATGAAAACTTAGTTGCAGAGACAGTTATACAAGTAATGGTGGGCTGGTGGGCTAGGAGAGAGTAACTATTTGCATGTGACTTCTTTTTTTATTTCTGTATTGAAATGTTTTGGCTCTTCTGAGGTTTTCCAAAAGGTTTTAATTCTTGGACTAGGTACATTTTTAATTCTAGGATTTGTGTATCTTTTCATAAAAAATGGCATCTTATTTTACAACATATTCTGCTTATCTTTGAAAACTTATCCTTCCTTTTTTTTTTTCCTTCTGTGGAACCACTTTCTCAGTGAAGCAGAAATAGCCCAGTGACTTGTGGCACAGCAGGGGTTTTGTGTTTTGTTGTTATTCATTTGTGTTTGACTTGCCTGCCCTCAGAGTCGAGGGACTGAAGCAGCAAGATGTGCTCTGTGTTTCAGTACAATGGCATGTGCTTACAAGGCCCCAGTGGCGTTCCTGGACGYGATGGAAACCCAGGAGCCAACGGGATCCCTGGGACGCCTGGGATCCCGGGYCGGGATGGGCTGAAAGGGGAGAAGGGCGAGTGCATGCGTGAGAGCATCGAGGAGTCCTGGACGCCCAACTTCAAGCAGTGCTCGTGGAGTGCGCTGAATTACGGCATCGACCTCGGCAAGATCGCGGTGAGTGGCTCTGCCCGGACACATGGCACCAACCACAGCGGGCTCCGGGTCTGCCTCYGTGAGCTGGGCAGCACCAAACACACAGAATTCCTGCTGGGGCCTTTTTCAGCATGAACTTCCCAAAGGTTTAGCTACTTTGGATTCCTCTCAGCTGTGCTTCAGCTATGTACCCATTTTGTTTCTGGAATAGGGTTTCAGAAGAATTATGTGGCTGGTGTAGGGTTTAGGAGTACATTTAGARGACCAGATCTGGAACTGTAAGGCTGAAAGCCACACTACCAAAAAGGTACCTCCAGTTTGCCCCAAACAGGGCAATACTTTTACCATTTCAATCCTAAAGAGGAATGTACACCTTTAATCTGTTAATTGTACCCGTCTTTACAACTCTTGCTTCAAAGTGGCTGTTCACTGAAACTGATTTGCAGGAGGCTGCTGCAAAAGATCAGCATTGCTCAGGAGTAGAATTGCCAATGTCACCCAGACTGACACAAACAATCTGTGCTTCACTGCAGCCCTGGGTATAAAACTTTCAAACACATTGGTGCAAGCCTGGAAAGAACCCCTGCTCAAGCCCAGCTGTGAAGCAGAGCCCAGAGTGGTTAAAGTCATTTAATTGCTATGCTGTGGCAAGAGAGAGAACCAACTTTTTCAGCAGACTTTCCTCACTGCCTTATACTTGCAGAACTGTCCCTAGCTTTTTTTTTTTTTTTTTCCCTTTACTTTTCCCCGTGATATCCAGCAGTTCGAAGAGTAACAAACACTTAAAAACCTGAAAATATTTATTTTCCACTAGTGGAGCTTTTATCAGGGTTTCTTTGACATATGTCTTGTGCTAGTTGTTAAGTTCAGGATTTCTGGTAGCAGAGACCAAAACTGTACTGTCTTACCATGCAAGGACTTGGGGGTTGGRCTGGATGATCTTCAGAGGTCCCTTTGAATTCTTATGATTGTGTGCTTCCGTGCCTTGAGTGYAGCTTTCAGAGAGCTTATACCCCTTTATRTAACTCCCAGAAGATAACTAGGCTACCCACTTAAAAACAGGTGTTATCTTAATAAAGTTAAGAACTTCCATAAACCATTTCTCCTTCACCATCTAGGAAATGCTGTTCTTATTTGCATCTTTGCATAAGGCATTTGCCAGGCTCTAATTTTTATTTTTTTTTTCCCAGAGAGGACTAAAAAGAATAGCCAAAACATTTAGAAACAGATATATTCCTAGATAGATGTCCTAAGTATAAATGTACAGAAAACAACTAGGTTCAAGCSCAGAGGTTTGCAGCAGAGCATTTTTGTCTCCTGTCAGGAATGTACCTTTACAAAGATGCGCTCCAACAGCGCTCTCCGCGTGCTCTTCAGCGGTTCCCTCCGGCTCAAGTGCAAGAGCGCCTGCTGCCAGCGCTGGTACTTCACCTTCAACGGGGCAGAGTGTGCCGGGCCTCTGCCCATCGAAGCCATCATATACCTGGACCAGGGAAGCCCAGAGCTGAATTCCACTATCAATATACACCGAACTTCTTCAGGTGTGTATGCTGAGGGCACGGGAGCGGAGGTGGAGGCAGTAGCAGTTACTACAGGCACAGAGTGCCMTCTGCCTCACCAAGTCAGGGGACAGAAAAAGGCACAAGAGTGACCAACCAACACTTGCTGCTCTTACTCTGCTGCCTCAGAGCTGATARTAACAGTATTACAATTGTTTACTGTTACTTCTTGCTGTGGTATTTTTCATGGTACTTATATCCTGAGATTTAGACACAGAACACATTTCTATCCAGACAGTTCTACTGATCTCTGCCACAAYAGGAATACAGAGACATTCTGTTCTGTATTAGCCTATGGAGAAACAGCCTTACTGCCAAGTGTCATCCTGGCTTAAAGTACTGATACTTGCACTTTATCTGTGCATAAAATGAGACTTATTCCTCCTGCAATTTCTACTCKGATTTCAGGTGGGGCACAAAAGTACTTCCAAAGTGGAATATCTAGGAATATTCATTTGCTAAGAAGTGGCAAATTAGYGAAGTCATTCAACATAAAAGGATGTGACACTAGGAAAAGAGAATGTAAAGTCTGTGCTGTTTCTCCATTTTCCTCCTTGTACTGCATGACTACAGGAGATCTAATGTCTAGAGCTATCATAGGGTTTTTTCAGCATAAGGGTAGAGCCTTCATTATCCTACCTCCAACTAGTGGTGCTAATGAGGCATCAGGAACTTTATACAGAAGCAGTGAATTAGGAGTGGAAAAACTTACAGGGTGGCAATCACKTTTACAGGGCTTAGCTGTGGAAGCCAGGTATGGCTGCACCCCCATGCCCCTGCCRTCACTGCTAGAAAGGTGGCTGGAAGGGTGTGAAGCCATATTCCAGCTCTCTGTTTGCAAATATGGGTATTTAAACAGCAGGTTAAATTATCCTGTGGATTGTGATCAGCTTTAGGTATTGCAATGCGTGTCAAGCACAGCATAGACAGAGGCACTGCATGATTGTAACTGATGTTGCCACATCTCTAYGTAATAGTTTTTAYCTCTGAAATTGTTCTAAAATTCTAAAAACTGTTCACATTTAATGAAATAGCACAAGCTTGCAATGAACTGCTGTTCTTAAGTGGTTGTGTCCACCTTCAGCAGTGAAATACAAAGGGATTGTGTCTGCTGAGGTAACCTGATGTTTGTCTTTACCCAGTGGAAGGTCTGTGCGAAGGGATCAATGCTGGCTTGGTGGATATTGCCATCTGGGTTGGGACTTGCTCAGATTATCCACGGGGAGATGCTTCTACTGGATGGAATTCAGTCTCCCGAATCATCATTGAAGAACTGCCAAAATAACTTCCCTCCCTTTTTATAATGCTTATTTTAATTTTTTTTAAAATTTTGTATCGTTTTCTTCAGAATTTATTTCAATAGAGTTGGGTGCTAGTACTGGACTAAAGGGCACCAAAGCCTTGCATCAGTAGCCTTTGTCTTGTTTTGCACATGGCAGAGGCTTTTTATAATAATAATTTTAGAATAAAAATATCAAACTCAAGTGCATTAACTTTTAAAATTTCTTGTTTGATGTAATACCACCACTGTTTTAAGAATTAACCATAACTTTTTGTATCAAATAAATAAGATCTTTTACAAAAAAAAAAAAGACAAACAAAAAATACCCCAAACCAGGCTATTTTATTGATTATTAATCTGCTTAAGGTATTTTACATYGTGTTATAATACATAATTTTTTTAGAAGGCTTTCTCTATAAAATTCTAAGAAAATAAAATCAGGTGCTGGCTTTAGCCTTCAGAAAACATACATAAAATTGACTCCTGTAAACCTGACTGCAGAATAAGATGGTCTGCTGTTACAGTCTTGTCTTTCAACAAACTCCTGGTGACTTAACTGTGACCTAGACACTGTGGTAAGTGTTAAATACCTCAYTGTGAATAATTAAACAAAAACAGACTGCCTAAGCCCTCCTTCTCTCTCTTGCTTCTTGATAAGACTGGATTTCACTGTAATATCTATGACTGATTTCCACTACTGAGTTGCAGACAATAATTTCATTGCTCCTATAAAATAATTACCCTGGATTTAGCCTTTCACACATGTAGAATCATTTTGGTASCAGTTAAAAGCTGGATACATTAAGTAGTTTAGAAGATACAGAAATAAGGCAGGTTGAAATACCTAGGCTTTCAAAAAGTGTTCTGGTACAGCAAAAACAACAACATCACAGCAAGTGACAACACTGATCATGCCAGCAGACCATTAGCTTGAGGGTTTTAAATACTTTCTTCCAAATTCTGCAAATGACATACTCAAGTAATTTTAATAGTTGTACACATTCTGAAGAGAAACAATAGTCATATTTGTATTACAAAATCAATTTTACAATAATGAAATAAAAAACCCATGAAAAGCATGTACAACATGCAAAAATCTCCACTCTTCCAGAAGTTAAAAGGAAAAAAACTCATTAAATCTGAATGAAATAAACAAATTTATTTCAACTATTTAGGATTAAATCTCATCTTCTTTTTTGAACAGGCTGTAAGATTTCCCCCAGGCATCTCCCAGACTGGTAGCTCTCGCYTGTAGCTGCTGCAGATAGCAGAGGAGCACACGTGCAGTGAGGGRAGCATTTGGGCTTGCCCAACTGTGAGACTGTGAGATTTGCTGCAAGCCAGCGAGTTACACAGCTGGTATTTTGTCTCTGAAGAACTGTAATGTTTTCACTGGCTTGGAYGATGGTTTTAAGGTATCTGAGCACAAACGAGTTACTATGAGCTGAGCTCTGGTGTGAATGTACAGAAAGTCAGTTAACATACAGTAAGTGATTGTGCACATGCCTGCAGCCTGACTTTGCATTTATCCTCAAGCACAACTGAGCTGTTCTGGGCCCAGAGCACACTAATCCAGGGTAGTACGTGCACAACTTTATCCTTTTCTTTATGATTTTTTTCATACGTCTGTGCAATATATTCTGGACCCTGGGTGGCAGAGTTGACTTCATTCTGTGTACCACAAAACACACAAACCCAAGTAAGCACCCTCCAAAGGCAGAAGTTAGCTGCTGTTATGAATATACATAATTTGCATGGTAAACTTCCAGTAAACTTATCTTCAGCTAAATACACACGGAACATTCCGTATTAAAAACCAAAGCCAGCCATACTAGGCCTAATGAGATTATTATTTCAAATTAGACTATCAACTGTATTGGTARATGAGATGAATTGTGGAAGACAAAGTGGAAATTATTAATAATTAATCACAAAATGTGTCATGTGGCAATAACATCTACAAAAACAAGCAAGTGGCTTGCTGAATTAAGATTCAGAATACTTAGTAGTTTCTGTCCAGATTTTAATTAAAAATTTAAACCAATTCCCCGATCTGTTAAATTTTTATTAAAAATAGTTCTTCTTGCTTTAGGTTAGTCTGGTAAACAGGAAACTTCTTTAAGTGATTATTCAGGATTACTCCGCTCCTTACATAACTGATTATTTCCCTGTATGTGCTGAATAGCCTTTGCTAATTTATTTCCTTGAAAAATGATACTTTCTAGATACTTCTTAATATCTTCTTACTAACAACARAGGGCAGATGTTAGGGTCAATAATGCATTTTCCTAAAGAACTAAAAAAACCCTCAACCTGTTCTGTTTTTTTTTTTTTTGAAGAAAGTCCTGTGCACAGGGTTTTTTTTTAGACAAGGAATTTTTTTCTGCAGAGAATATTATTGAAAATAATCATGGTCATATTTGTTATTACACTGGTTTGAACACTGCATCACTGTAGGTTCACTATAATAAAATCCTCATTTTTAAATGTGAGCCCAYTTTAAATTATGCATTTACTTAGTAATATTTGGTCAGATGTATTATCAGTGGAGACAGACTCTGTCACAGAGAGATGGAGAGAGAATGGAAGAGAGAGAAAATTAATTAAGYGGCCAGCACTGCACACACCTTGGTCTGGTGCTAACACCAAGTCAAAAACCACAATGCAAGTCTGTCCTGGTATGAGACAAGAACAGAGTTTCACCAGACTTTCAACTATTCAAACCCAAGAATGGACAGCTGTTTTAAAAAAACAATTTCAGCTTCCAAATTGGACCCCACTGAGGCAGCATTTTTGTGCTGGATAAGCAACCGAGTCTGGAGCATTCCATATCCTAAAATCTGACGAGTAACACAGAGATGGATTCAGATGACATTCCTTGTTTTAATGAGACTCAGAAATTTAAGAAAGTTTTGACAGGCCCCGGGGCTGTTTTCATGAGAAGTTTTCCATTAGTGCAGAAGCAGAATCTAACCAACTGTTATCTTGAGACTTGTTGAGACTGCTTAGTTGGTTATTCCAGGCAGGCCAGGATGAATGGAATTGCTGTGCAGCTGCCTTCACCCAGTCCCAGCACTATCATTTCACAGTTGCAGACATCTGTTTCAAGCAGACACAGCTGATTCAGAGAGGAAGGCAGCAATGCAGGAACATTCAACAGGAGAGATGTTGGCAGGGTTTCRCTGTCTCTACATTCTTTCCTCAAAAGACCAGATCAATTCACAGTGTCAAAGAAGACTGCTGAACAAAGCTTTTCCCAGATCATAAATATAAAAAATAAAGGATTYCTTCCTAGGAACACAAGTTCATACCTTTAATTATTTTCTTTTCTAAAGCCAAGTAAAAAGCCAGACACATTTTCATAAACTACAAAGGTAATACAGCAGGCAGGAGTCACTCTGATCACATTGGGTATAATTCCTTTGTAAAATCCATGAACGCCTTCTTTCCTTTAAAGACAAAAAAATATTTGGTTTTAATTAACGTCTTTTAATAGAAAAAAATCAGATATAAAACAAAGCCTAGCATTCTTTTGCTCACACTCCCATTGAGAGGTGCTTCAGGTTAGAAATAACCATTTCAGACAGCGTTTAAAGTGCATCAGATTAACCCATCACTTTTTCTTCTGARCATACAATAGTATTATGTAGATCAGTTATTTAGCCTATGCTTTGAGTGTTTTTTGTGGGTTTTTGTGGGTATTGTCTAAGTAGAGGACAATTTACTACCTTTCTCCATGCTACAAGAACTGGCCGAACAACTAAGAAAAGTCAGCACTGRTTTTTTGAGAATTTAAGCACTCCCTCCAGAATATTGATTCTACTGGCCAATAAATGAGAATCTAACTTGTCCCAATTTCAATCAGTGTGCCTACTAGGGCTGTTAGAAAGTTCCAGAGATTTAATCTCACAGGCCTCTTTGCAGGCTTCACAGGCCTAGGACACCTGGAATGATGAGTAAATGAAGATCCTGGAAAGTGCTTAGGTGYGGTTTACACTACCCCACTAAACTTTGGATTTGTTTCACCATGAGCGCAGCAGTGGCCCCAGAATGGCTGCATTACACTTTATCAGAACTAATAAGCCTTCCTGCAGACTGCAGCATTGCAGGGCACAGCCCTGAGACATCAGAGCTATTTCTGCTCTGAGTTGCCTCCAGTTGAAATGGTTCTATGTCAGAACAGGACAGACCACACCACCTCGGAGCCAGGGGTGCTCTGGAACAACACAGCCTCGGTCACTCACTCAGCTGGCCCCTCTTGGTAGCCCAGGCTCCATTCACATCTCCCCAGCAATGTGCTGAACACCAGAAGCACTGCCCAAAGCAAGGGGGTACTGGCTGCACGAGCAGAGGGGGCCACCCTGAGCAACTACACAGGTCAGGTCTGTGTGAAACTCTCACCTGCACTCGGAGCTCAGRGAAGAAGGTTTGTGCGAAGATATGAATAGGTGTGAGGTCACAGGTCTCTAAAGGTCCTACAGGAAGCTGGGACTAAACTACAAATGCAGTCAGGCCCCAGTATAATCAGCTCTAGCTAGCTCACTTCACCTTGCCAGGAATTTGGATTAGCCACAACCCCAAACAGCACAGTGCTCCTGTCCGATGTGATAAGCTAAAGCAGTTCAACTGAGACTTTTATTTAGAGTCCCACACCAACCATGACAATGCTATTTTTTAGCCTGTAAGTGAAATTTGCTGGAGAAGAGAGAAGGGAGACAGAATAAACAACAGAAATCTGCAGTGGGGCATTGACCCTCTCTTATCTCCTCCTTTGTCCTCAGCTCACTGCTGTTGGTGGCATCTTGTGCAATATGACTTTGTGCAACGAACATTTTGTTTGCTCTGAACTGCACTGGTTCTGCAAGTCAGAACAGAAGCCAGTAAAGCCAGCTCTGACTCTGTAAAACTCAGTTTCCAAGATGTAAGCTTTTAATTTTTCACACCTACCTCCACGTCCTGCGGATCACATCAAACACACCAGAATATGTGTTATGCTGATCTTGAAGACGAGCTCGCACAACTTGATAGGGRTATGTTGCTGACACAGCAAATATTTTGGATACAGCTGCCATCATTATGTATTCCACAGTGTTCTAAAAGCAAAAAAAATTGTCAGGCTTGCCTTAAGTGTGGTTTAAATYAACAAATTTCCCAAAATCTTATTTGATTTTTAAGTGTTCAGCTGAACAATACACTGGATTTTCCCCCCTTATAATACAACATATTAAAAGAAATGTCAGTGTTTACTAAATGCAGTGCTACAGGTAATTGATTGTGAAACACGTATTGTGCCTTCTCATTCCCATCAAGAGAAACATTTCTTCTAAAGGTAACTACCTTTGCCTGACTTGCACCTCAACAGATTTACAGGGTTTAATACCACTACCTGTGGTTCCACAAAGTAAGAAAAAAACCTCATTCCTCCATCTAGATTCTCAAAACACTTGCCAAGATAGGAAGCTGGTTTTCAAAAACAACACAAACCAATTGCTTGTTACTAAAAAGTGAGACAGTATTATTTCCTTCTATATATTCTGCATTTAATTCATGTATCAATACTTTGTACATTTGGCTGCTGTATAACCTGACAAGTGGAATCAACTTCTATTTATTCAGGCCACCACACATTTTTATTCTCAAGCATCATACCAATTTTGTATCTGACACTCTGTTTCTATACTTGTTGTATCTCTCTTTCAAATCCTCGTAGGCCATGAACTGAAGTGCTCCGTGTGAAGTTCCGAACAGACCAGGCACAAATCCCTAAAAAAAGGGATAAAACAAAGTTGAAGGGTAATGCACAAACCCCAAATAACTTGACAGAGAGCACAGCTCACATAGATACGTTTGTCCTCCCATGGTGCACAGACTGTCCCTGTCACTGTTGCCAGTCTCAGAGCCAGGTCTGGGTCGGGATTCTGAAGGGCAGGCATCACACAAACATTTAATAAATGCCACTTTTCTGACATACAGCCTGAAGTCACTGAGATAAAACAAGTGGCCCAGSGACTCCACCTCACAGAGCACAAGCTGGTAACAGAGATTAGGACTGCRAGAACACAAACCAAGCAGTGGTGAATGTGCTGCTCAGGGCCTGCCCCGTGCCAGAGACTGGCACTGAGGGCTTTGGTTCCACCTGAGAGTGGAAAAGCAATGACAGATGCTGGCAACTCAGTGAGAAGGGCCATCAGGAGCAGAGGTACAAAATACTACTGTGATCAAGCCCAGGAAACGGTTATATGTTTGCATGTGTGTGTCTCTACACGAAGTGTATCTATAAGATATACATATTTCTGTATTAAAAAAATGTTTGCATTTACATAGAAACACAGAATTGTTTAGGCTGGAAAAGACCTTTCAGATTATCAAGTCCAACCATAAACCTAACTCTGACATGTCCACCGTCGTACCATGTCCCCGTGGAAGAAGAGAGTGAGCTGCTTCAGTACTGTCTTTGTTACACACACGAAAATATGTATCAAACTTTTGTTTGAAAAGAGTTGAAATGAAGGGGGAAAACAGGTACTTTCTGAAGTGTCTCCACAAGAAAGAGAAGGCATTAATTCCCCCAAGAGCAGGATCAGCTCCGTTAAAATGAGCTGCCAGCTGCATGGATTCAGAAAAGCACTAACCCTTTTTTTGTCACTTATGCTGAAAAAATACAGATAAATGGGGGATTAATCATCTTGGTCAGAAAGGGGCTCAAAAGCTTGCTGCAAACTGTTGGGGGACAATTATAATGGAGTAAGTGATGAAAATGTGGTTAAAAGCACTCAAAGAAACAAAGTTAAGGAAAAGYCAAAATGTTGAATAAAGRCYTAYCAGTATACTATTAAAAGCCTGGAGAAGAAAAGGSATCCCAGTAGGAAKCCACTGAAATAGTGTTAACAAGACAAAATAATAAAACTCCTAAATTGAAGAAAAATCCCCAACAACTAAAACTACAGAGACCATAAAAATTGCACAGTTAATACACAAAATAGCACTTCAGGAATCAGCTTTTTGAATGCTTCATAAAGATTTCTTAAGTATTGCAGTCATTTAGGAAGTTATTTTTCAGAATTTCTTTGAAAAATGAGGATAAATTTCTTCTCACAGTAGGAAATAATGGTCATGAACTYACCATCAGTGACCACAAACTGATGAAATGTGTTAAAGGCTAGTGAAAGTCCCAGAGAAAACACTTCCCCAAATGAGAACAAGTGAAATTAAACCACATATCTGTATTTTGTCAGCTGTAAGCATGAAGTTTGAAGCCAAAGGGCCCCAACAGAGGGAAAAAGACAACTCTGGTTTTCAGAAATCTTGGATCAGAGAAGAAAATAAAAGTATTAGAAAAACTGAAGGAGCAGAGAAAAACAAAACTATGGAAAATGTCAAAGGAAAAATTATCTGGGTCAGCAGAAAAAGGAACAATATGAAACTTAAGGACAGTGATAGAAGGGAAAATCTTCACAAACATTTGTCTGTGATTAGACAGTAAAACCTCTAGAAGACAGTGGAAGTAATTGTTCTCCACTTGGAAAAAATGAGAATGATGTATTTATATTATAAAAGAATGAGGCAATACTTTCCCCACCAACARAAGAAGAATGTTCAACAACCTTTAAGAGGGCTAAACTCTTAAACTTAAGCCAGAAGATTTGGATAACTTGCACCCCAGAGTCCTAAAGCATCTACTGATGATAAATAAATACCAGCATGCTTTAAGCCTTGAGATGATGAGAAAAGCTTCCAAAGGCTGTGGGACTTTTAATGTTGGGCCAATATTAAAAAATGCAAGAAGGGAGTGAGGCAACTGTCAGCCAATATGCTTCAGTAAAGTAAGAGCTGACCCAGGCTTCTAGAAAGATCATAGATCWTAGAAAACAATGTATTCTTATGGAAAAATATTGCAAAGGAAAACTGATTTATTCACAGAACTGAAATATCTTGGCTGAGGAGGTTTTTGAAACATATTCTATTCTYAGAATAATTATTATTATTAAAACTATTCTTATTCTTAGAATAATTTATTACAAAATTCTTTCCACAAAATGCGGTAGAATTTAGTATTTATTTTGATCCATCCTATGACTGTAAAGATAAATTTTAAAATAATTTAMGTTCATGAATTTCTTAGTTTTTACTTTAATATTCCAAATATATTTTTAGAAGATTTTTGCCATGATGGTTTGACAAGATGAATGTTTTCTCAAAGAAATCCTGTTTGAATTATTTTTAAACAGATTAGAACAATAGACATAATTAAATATATAATTAGAAATTTAAATGGTAAAACATATAATTCTGAACAGCGGACAGTGGGAATACAGAAGTATTTTAAAGTTGGCTTGAAAGAGTTTCAAGTGCTGAAAATCCAGGACAAGAGGAAAATATCCTGTTGGTTAGTGTTTCAAAGGTTACCCATCACAAGAGAAAGAAACACAGGAAAATCGATACGTTAGAAAGCCTGTGCTTCTCAGYAAAGAAGGGAACCAGGTTTATGTGGTGATGCGGTACTCACATCACTGCCTGAAGTGTTTGACAGCACTCAAGCCAGAGCACCCTCTGCTTAGTGTGTCAAAAGAATGCAGTAAATAACCCTTGCAATCTCTTACTCCCTTCATTTGGGCTCCCAGTGTGTCAAAGACCCGTGGTATCTATTCTGCTCTGACAATTCGTGCAGAAAAGACACTGAAGTTGCCATTATCATCTTGATTCCTTCGTGGTGAAAAATGTTATAATCTTTTATGTGAAAGCTGCTTACGCTTATGACTCTGTGTAGAACCAGCAACTTAAGCTAAAATCAAGATGGTCAAATCTCAGTTGATTTTGTGACAAGTACAAAGATACACAAAGCTTGTAAACTACATATTTACAAGAAGAAAAATAACATAAGCAAAAGCACTGATATRTAAAGAGAGCTAAGTGCCTTAGCCATTAAGGGACCAGAAAAAGTACTTTACCCTCAGAGCACAGAATCTTGTCTACCAAAGATRAAATGACAACACAGAAGTGTCCAAATATATTTCACTTGGTAACGAGCACACRTTACTGGTATTACTTTTGTTGATGTCAGTATACTACTTAACTATTCTCAGTCTTGATGAACCTGGATCCGTAAAGTAAAGATTTTACTTTAATCTCCTTAAATTTTCTACATTTCCTGTATATTTTACAGTTGTTTATTAATCATTATTCTATTTCCAACAGCTGCTTTTATATCATCACTAAAATGGAACAAAAAATGCACGTACAGAAATATGGAGGCCACAAAGGATGTTAGTTTCATTCCTGGTGGATGTCTTAGTAGTCAGTCACTCCAGATTATACATCTAACAGTTCCCCAACAGYTCAGAGMTAYTTTMTGTTTTCCTAAAAGCACCAATCCTACAATCTTACGATTATTTTATCATGTTTGGTCTCTCCTACCTTATGCTTAAATAGAACATCACAGCATTCTAATATGCAGATGGTTGCATGACATTCAACTTCATGGCAAATACTTTTTAGAGCTCAGGCCTCCAACAGATCCATGCATGTGTTCAAAGTACATAACCCCAAGCTGTTTTTTAATTCATCCTGGAATTAAAGGGCAGCAGAGCAGCTCTGTCCCCAGTCATCTGGGGGATGGAGGCCAAAAGACAAAGCCTAATTGATGGAGGGTGTGCGAGATCACTGACTGGATAACAACCAGAATAATTAGTGAAGAAGACTCCTGCCTTTCCAAAACCAGGCCAAGTTCAAGAGAACAATTTCCTGAAAAGCCCAGACTCACATGAACTATATATGATCATCAATATCCAGCAGAGCTAATAAGGAAAGTTTGGATCCCTGCTAGAAAGATTGATGTATCCAGTCCTGTGCCTAAAAGAACTGAAAGGATTTGCTCAGAACAGTAAATGCCAGCATCTGGGCAATAAAGAGCAATACTGAATTTCTTGGTCAGAAGTACCATTCTTTAGAAGACAAATCTCAAACAGAATGAAACTCCTTCCAGATTTTATTTCCAGCTTGTGGTGGTACTATCTGAGATGCCCTTATCTGCTCTTAGGAATGGTATCTGAAATGAAGATTATGAGGAAAAAGAAGACATTTGTGTGCACTACAACTCCTGTGACTCAGGGCAATTAACAAAGCTTTAGCTGCTCAATTTCAAATAGAGCGAGAAAAAAATAAAAACTACCCCAAACATTGAAAATGGAGGAAGGATAAAGTATGTACAAGTTAAAGAACCACCTGAAAAAGTGCCTTTTCCCCAGTATAGAAAAGGTTGAGAGAGTCCTGACGTCAAATGGAAGTTGCTCAGTGTTCCTACTTATGTAGGTCACTCAGGACCTATCTAGGTCACCTTCTTTGCAGATTTAAGCAAGTAATTTGCTCTTTCAAAGGAAGTAGCTGGTTTAGTCCCTCACTTGCAGATTAACACTACAAAGAAGTGTCTAGTGCCAAAGGCGACACATGCTACACACACGAATAATCTGAAAAGAAGGGTAGAAGGACATCTTAAAACCTAACAGATTCAAGAAATTAGAACTTATCTATGTAGACCAGAGCAGACATCCAGGCAGGCAAATTGGAAATCCTGACAATTTCAATGTATGAATAAGTTTTAGAACTTGGCATTCATTGCCATGAAGCACACTAGTCTGACAGCACAGGAAAGATTGCCTTTTTCACTGAAAACAAAGGAAGCTAATGTTCAGTAAYCAGGACAATTTCTAAGAGATAGTGGTCTTGTTCCCTATCCCTGCTGGTTTTGAAGGCCAGGCTAGATGGAGCTCTGAGCAGCCTGGTCTAATGAAAGGTGTCCCTGGTTATGGCAGGGAGGGTGGAACCAGATGATATTTAAGATCTCTTCCAACCCAATTCCATGATTCTATGATTCTACAACACTACTTGCAGGAAAGAGCCAGACTGAACTAAATTAGATTTCTTCACAACTTCCAGGCACTGATGAATGCATCTTGATGTCATGACCTGAAGAGAGGCGGAGGCAAAAAGTCCAAATCAAGTTGCCATCTGTTCCCTAAATGAAAGGGAACAAAAACGCACACAAATGCAGACCATATTTAGAAGTCTGCAAATTTAATGTATCTAGAGCTGACAGATTACAGACATCAATAACCAGAGGGCAAATAAGCAGTTGTGAAACTACCCATTGTGAAWGAAAAAATTAGCAAGTACTTTAGTCATGTTATCTTCCAGAAGATGTTAGAAATACAGAGATAAGGGATAAAATGGAAGAAAGTACTACCAGCAAGATAGATTACACTATTATTGCCCTGCTTATCCAAATATCTAATTATAGGAAGCCTCAAAAAAATTACAAAGCAGTTTATAGTTTACTCTCCTATCACCCAACAGAAGATGACTTAGTCATAAAGTTTATATTCTTCAGGACCTCCTGTATTTCAACAGTGTTACACCTTTTCTTCTCATTTAGCCTTTTTGCTGCAATTCTTTCGTGGGAAAGATTCACTGAATAAAAGTAAGCAAGCTATTACAAATTTTTTTAGACCAATATTTAGAAGTCTCACCATGCTACTGAGTCATGCCAGGCAATCTGGAATTTTTGTTAAATGTGATTACCTTATACAAGCCACGTATGCCCTCTGTCCTGTATATCTTTACAAGAGCATCAACCATTCCTCTGTATTGCCGCTTGGATGGATCCACACCAGCGTTATATTGTAGCACAAGCCGAGTCTTCATTACCCATATTGGGTTGGTAATGCAGAGAGTCATGGCTCCTGAGAACAGACACAAGTCACACTCATTGCTATGCCAACTCCAAAGCTAGTCCCAGTTTGTTCAGTTCAACATAACACGGGCTTCTACATGACAAAACTACTTAACCTACCAGAGTACTCACACTGCTTAAAACAGGTGAAGTTTATTCCCTCCATTGCTCCCTCATCTCCCTTGAAAGCTCACAATCAAGTCCAATTTACTCYTGCTGTGGGGGTGCTTTTGCAGAGCACATGTATTTTTGCATATTCCTAGTACAGCCYCTTTTTTGCTTCACCTTTCCAAATKTAKTAATATAATCTGTAGTWGATAGGAAATGTAATTTCTTAAYGTACCACTGATTATCCRAGTTATTCTTCAKTATACAATAATTTAAAATTTAATGGACACCTCAGCGGTGAGAAACTTGCTTAATAAGATTGACAGGTTAATAGCAACAACCTGTTACAGCTTTATAGGTTATTGAAAATACCATTGTAAAAGAACCCATTACTATTTTTCATGTCAAACAATATGCCTTTTATTTCAGCATTAAATGAATGCTTCAAAATCCTAATAAAAAAACTTCTGAATTGCCTGTAGAACATGTAATGATAGGACAATGGCAGATAGCTTCAAACTGAAAGAACAGGTCTAGATGAGATAYTGAGCAGAAATTCTTTACTGTGAGGGTAGTGAGGCACGGGAACAGGTTGCTCAGAGAAGTTGTTGATGTCCCATCTTTGGAAGTATTCCAGGCCAGGCTGGATAGGGCTTTGAGTAATCTGGTCTAGTGTAAGGTGTCCCTGCCCATGAACTAGATGAACTAGATGATTTTTGAAGTCCCTGCCACCCCAAACCATTCCATGGTCCAACAGGCTTCCTTTCCAGGTACAAGTGTTAAACATTTAACAAGCTAACAACCTGATAGCAGCAGATCTCCACAGTTATATTTTGGGACCCAATATAGTAGTAAATATGGAAAATRCTTATACAGAATGGAAACGAGGACAAAAGACATTTTGACAACTGCTAATTCTGCACAAACCTGAAAGATCACAGTGACCCACCTATTTGTGTTAGACACCTTTATTTTATTTACAGACAATAAATGATTGCATTTGAGTGGAACACATACACTTGCACCTRTGAGAAAAAAACTGCACTGACACAGAAAGGCAGGCAGGAGCATATGGAAAGGCAGGAAGCAAAAGGTAATCTTTGCATTTAAACTCACCAGCCTGTGCAGCTGACACTAGGTGTTCGCTTGCACTGAGACTTTCCATCTTCCCTTCCTTCTTGTAAGCTTTGATGGCATTGTAACTGGAAAATTAAAAACGTAATTTACTAATGGTGGAAACAGACYTACATCACAAAAACCCCAAGCCCAGCATGACTAACTACCTGACTTAAGATTATGGGGGTACACAGCCTTTGAAAAAAAATGTATCTAAACTATCATGGTTTAATTGATATCTCAGCATTTAGCTCTTCAAAGTGAACTCTGGTAATACATATTTAAAWTMTATTAATGAACTGTCAGTATCAATGGGACTGCATCTTGAAAATTATCAGGTACCAGAAATACACTGAGCTTTCTTCTCATGATCCAGTTTGCAATCTTTGTGATTAAGAAATTGTCAACAGAAGATGAACTGTCAATAGGAATCTACAGCAAAGCTWAAGGACTGAAGTACAAYAATAACAGARTGTAGACAACTGAAAAKTGARCTTTGCATAGGTACACCAGSARGCCAGTCCCTAAAATGTTTCAGTTAATAGGGATAAGAAGTAAATCAGGTCACAGAGTTAATAAAGTAGAATATTAAAAAATGGGCTTTATAAGCAAAGCCCATCAACTGACAAAAAGAATGAAAAAAACTGTCATTAAAATGATTAAAACAAATCAAATATTTAGTTTTAGTAGAAAACTTGATGCTCTTTAATTCTTAAGAAATCAATTTAGGTTCTTGCTTTTTGTGAGATTTTAAGCACAGTGTACTGGCACTTTTAGATCACTCTTTAAGAATAGTATCACCACCTCTCAAGTTCCTCAGTATTTTCACAGCACCAAGGGAATGCACTGTACCTGACAAAGGATCAGGTCTCTGACTCAAATTGCTTAAATTCTAAATCAGCAAACCATAATAAAGGGTAACAGATCTGGACTCACTAAGAAAATCACAAGTTTGTAAGTCACTTAGCACATTTTTATACCCCTCAAAGAATATGCAATGTATATCTGAACACCACATTGTGCAGGGCCTGACACATTTCACAGTTCTACTTACAAGAAAAAGTAAAGTCCCCAGGAAGCCCCTGCTCCCACCATGTTTGGAGTTACCCCTTGATATAAGCCTCGCAGTCCTTCGTTCTTCCAGACAGTGCTCATACAGTGGAGAATCCCATTGTACTTTGGCCTCAGCTCCAATCCATCGTTCACTGTGAAAGAAAGGAATTAGACTGGAAAACATTTCGGGAAGCGTAAAGTTCAGCTGTGTCCAAGCCAACACAGAAGTCCACAGACTCCAAAGCAAGCTCCAAACGGACACAAAACCTAATTGATCACCTGTATTACAAAAGTATTATTTCACAAGTATGCAAGAGCTGGGGTCTGCAGCTTTATAAGTGTAGAGTTCAAGAATTTAGAAAAAAAAAAGGGGGAAAAGAAACAAAAAAAGAAAGAGGACTCCTTAGCTCAGTAAGATGAAGGTTAAAYGAATGCACTGCCATGCATTTTTGGTGAGCAGCAGATTTTCTGTCTCTTTTTTTAKCACTCCAGCAATTTTGCATATTTTAAGTGATATGGGTAGGATCCTTGACTATATGTTTCTCTAAGTTGTTTAGATCAGTCCTAAATAACAACACCTAAATTAAAATTTTCTCTTTAAAATGTTCTATAAAGCAATGGKTCATGTCTTATTGATTCCCAAGTCCGTTTTTACCAAAATACTCAAAGGTTATTTCTCCCACCTAATAACCTAAGAGCTGGTAGTCCCAATATTCAGAAAACATCACTTCAAAAATATGGAAAACACACAARTTTTTGTTTGACAGATCACGCAGAACACTGATGTCCACAAAACTTATTGCTCCTACCACAAGAGCAAGGGAGTAATTTGATTACTGMTGACACATGTGACATGGTGTGTGGTGACATGACAAGAGGTAACGGACACAAGCTGAAATACAGGGAGTTCTGACCAGAATWTTTCCTTCAGCAGAGTGGCCAAATACTTGAACAAGCTGCCTGAAGAGTATCTTTGAAGCTACTCAAAACTCCAGCACACAAGACTGAGCAAACTGATCYAAGCAGAGCTTATCTGAGTAGGGGGTGAACTCCTTAGCTCTCTTCTGACCTAAACTATTCTATGATGCCAACGTAGCAGCAGCTTTCATTCTTTATACAGACCTAAGGCTAGACTGCAACCGTACTGAAAGTTGATCTCACACTTTTACAGTCAGTAAAGTTTTTGTGTCCCCAACAACATTAATCCTAGTAATCAGACATTTTCTGTTCAGTGACGCATTTATCATCCATTCCACTTGAACTTTGTGTATGGTACTGTACATTGTGACAGACTTCAGCACAAAAGACAAAATGGTTTTTCTGAGTACAGTGTGACAAGGCCTCAACACCTTGACAACCACTCAAAACTACARCACCTCTTTTCTGCCTCCTGAATGAGTGCTGCTAGACCTTTCCCAGACATTTCTGAATTTTTTTTTACCACACACCCATGAGATCAGGTTTATAAACATATTAAACAACATGGGTAATCAGAGACATGAATGCAAGTCTTTCTGTCAATGATGCTGCCAAGAATCTTCACAACAATTATTTCTGGTGTCAGCTCCTATTCCCTGGTTGAAGACAAAACAYAGGAATTGTTATTTTCTACCCAAACAAGCATGTGAAAGTACATGACCTCCAAAAGCCACCTAATCCAAACCTGTACTCAARCCAGATCTAATTAGATCTGGTTACTTAGGGACATGACCAGTTGACTCCTGAATGTTTCCGTGACTGAAGAGATTACAGCCTCTCTGGGCAACCTTTTCCAGTATTTGACCACTCTCACAGTAAAATAACTGGAATTTTCCACATTCATGCTCTGCTTGTGCCTTTTACTTTGCGCCCTACTGCCTCCAAGAAGAATCTGGCTTCACCTTCTCCAATAACACTGTCATAGACTGCCATTTTAGCTCCCTTTGGCCTTTCCTTTTTGAGGCCAAACTGATCCTGTTCTGTCAGCCTGTTCTCCTGTGCCACGTGCTCCAGCCCCTTCACCAGTTCAGCAGCCTCCACTGGAATCACACCAGTATGGCACTGTCTTCCTTCCTTGAACTGGAGAGCTCCAACCCACACACAGTACTTCTGACGTGCTGTGGGGAAAACAGAAAAGAGCACTTCTGCTAGCTGTGCTTTTCATAAGGCAGCCCAGGATGTGCTGAACTAAGACAATGCAAAGTTTTAAATTTTGCAAAACCTCTCTGTGACAATTTGCTTCTGAGGTCATAAAACGCTCATGTATCTATTTAAGAAAACAATCCAAAGATAMAATAAAATGTTTCAACCTCTCTAAAACAGAGTATGATAAATGGAGGGCGTGTTTCTCAATTTASCAGAAAAGTCAAGAAAAGCTGCTGTGTTTCCCAGTGGAAAAATGAACTAATTTAGAGTTTTCTGCAAAATAATACCTCTATTGTACATCTATTGTTAACAATCAAGGTTATTCCAAAACTACCGCTAAGCTGTGAGTGTTGAAAATCTTTGGCACAAAGGTGAACTTTGAACGTGGGCTTGGGACAATCTGCATATGAAAATCTGTCCTCTGGCACCGGTGGTTATGAAAGGCGGGGAAGAGACTGGCCAGCTCTCTAACGTGCTGGAACAGCTCGGGGCACACAGAACATTTTACAATCCCTAGAATGACAAGAAGAAGCTTTGAGATAGCAGGGAAGAGAATTGGAGACCGTYCCTTTCGGCTTACGGCCAGTTTATCACAAGCCGTGGGGCTGCTCCGCCGGCACCCGCGGTGCYACAGCCGCGCACGGGGCCGGGCAGAACCGCGCGGGCTTTGGGCAGGTCCCGGGCCGGGCACGGCGAGCTCGGGCACGCCGGTGCCTCTGCAGCACAGGACSGAGGGGGGCGGCCGGTCCGGCCTCACCTGCGAAGCGGATCTTGACGAGGTCCAGCGGGTGCAGCGCCAGGGTGGACAGGACGCCGCCGCTCATGCCCGCGGCCAGGTTCTCCAGCCGCACGTGCCGCAGCACGGAGCGCACCGGCGACACCGGCGACACCGGCGACTCCCGCGCCAGCGGCTCGCGCGCCGCGCACGCGGGGCCCGGGGCTCCCATCGCCGGCCGCGCGCGAGCAGGGGCGGGGCTCGAGCCCTCGCGCGAGAACGGCCCGCGCGCCGCGTCCGGTCACGTGCGCGCGCGGTTGCCGGCGGAGCGGGCGCAGGGATGAGGGTGAAGGTGCTGAGCCGCAATCCCGATGACTACGTGCGGGAGACCAAGCTGGACCTGCAGCGCGGTGAGCGGGGCTCCCGGGCCGGCTCCCGGATCCGATGGGCCCGGCCCGGCCTGGCCCAGCCGGCCCGGAAGGGATGAGGCCGGCGGCGGAGCGAGGGAGGCAGGAAGGCGTTCGGGCACCCGTCGGCCGCGCCCCGCCCCGCTCCGTTCCGTTCCGCTCGGCTCCGGTCCCCTCCCCTCCGCCGGCTGCCACGGTTGGATAGGCCGGGCAGTGGGCTTTTGGGCTTCCCTTCTTCCCCGCACCGGCCGTTTTTCCCCGCGGGTGCCAGTCCCAGGCGGGCATTTGAGTGCGGTGCTCGTCTGCGGAGGAAACCTTCCCTTGCCGTGGGCCGGCGGCTGTCGGAAGCTGCATCTCGGGGTGCCAGGGCCTGCTCTGAAAGCGGCGTCAGAGGAGGAGTGCGGGGTTGGGGTTTTAATCACTGTTCTGGCACCCGGAGGTTGCGCTTAGTATTACCGAGGTTATCCTTTGCAGTTTTTTGCTCTTAATGCTGTTTCATTCCTCCTGCATCGCGTTCGGCTTTTTGCAYGTTCACGTGGCAAAGTTGTTGATTGTATGCTGATTTCACACAGACAACATAGAGTCATGGAGGTTGGAAGGGACCTCTAAAAGTCATCTAGTCCAACCCCTCACCCTGCCCTGTGATGAACAGGGACATCTTCAGCTATCAGGTTGCTCAGTACCCTGATGGGGCATGTGCCATCTCATTGTAAAAAACATACTTCTAGCTAGTCTATAAATTTACTCTCTTTACGTTTAAAACCATTACTTGTTGACAGATCTCAACAGGCCCTGCTAAAGAGTCTGTCASCGTCTTTCTCATAGCCTCCCTTTAAGTACTGAAAGGCAGCAATGATGTTTCCCTGGTGCCTTCTCCAGGCTGAACAACCACAGCTCTCACAGCCTTTCTCMTGGGAGAGGCAGTCCATCCCTCTGATCGTGTCTCTCCTCTGAGCTTCCTCCAACATGGATTTCTAATGCGTGTGCTTTCTGTTGCAGTTCCAAGGAACTATGACCCTGCATTGCATCCATTTGAGGTTGCACGGGAGTACACAAGAGCTCTGAATGCCACAAAGCTAGAACGTGTATTTGCAAAACCCTTTCTTAGCTCACTTGATGGCCACAGAGATGGAGTCAATTGCATGGCCAAACATCCAAAAAGTTTGTCTACGGTGCTGTCTGGAGCTTGTGATGGAGAGGTAAGCTTACAAACCACAGCAAACAAGGTACCTTTCTTACTTTTTTCTTTCTCTTTTATGCTTCATTTTGGTTGGTTGGTTTTGTCACACCTTACTTTTCTGTCTTTGTTCAGTGTGTTACCTTTATCCTCACTCAGAATGTGAAACTTTCTGCTGCTCTGTCACTGCCATTTGATGGGGGAGACAAAATGTAGTGAAAGGTTCATGGGTTGAGATAAGGACAGGGAGAGATTACTCATCTACTRCTATCAAGGACAAAACAGACAACTTGGAGATATTAATGGAATTTATTAGTRACAAAATCAGAGCAGAATAATAAGAAGTAAAATAAGACCTTAAAACTACCTTCCCTCCACCTCTCCCTCCTTCCTGGKCTGTACCTCCTCCCCTTCAGGAGCGCAGGGAAATAAGGAAAGAAGGTTACAGTCAGTTCACTACAAGTTGTTCCTGTCTCTACTCAGGGAAAGGAGTCCCTGCGCTGCTCCACCATGGGGTCCCTCCCATGGGAGACAGTTCTCCATGAAGTTCGCCAGTATGAGTCCTTCCCACAGGCTGCAGATTTTCACAAACTGCTGCTGKGTGGGTGACTTTTCCACGGCATGCAGTCCTTCAAGAAAAGGCTGCTCCAGTGTGGGTCCCCCACAGGGTCACGAGTCCTGGGAAACCTGCTCCAGTGTGGACTCCTCTCTCCATGGGTCCACAGGTCCCTGCCAGGAGCCTCTCCCACAAGGGCTTTCTGTGGATTCACAGCCTTCTTTGTGGGCATCTGGCCTTGGTGTTCTCCACAGGCTGCAGGATGTTATCTAAACTGTAGACTGCCCCAATCGAAACCTGGCCAYGCAAACCCAATACACACTGTGATTTATTTTGCTGCCTACATGACCCCTTCACTCCTCACCATAAAGAAGTTTAATTGTCAGATTAGCTAGGGGGAAGGGGCACACAACCAAAAACCTCTTAGAATAACAATTTTTCATACTGCCTAAAAGGTGCTAGCCCTATGTATTTGATAATTTTACATAAATATTACAAATAGCAATCAAGGACACTTAAATTGGAACTTACTGCATAAAAAAATAGCCGTATTTCCTGAGTCCCCTGTCTTTTCTCATGCTTACAGTGTTCATTTGATAGTACTTTAATATTTTAAAGGTGTCTTCTGGGTAGTTGGTTACTTTCTGCCTTTTGTAGAAAGTGCAAGTGTCATGCAATGCAGTAGTATAAGGGAAGTTTACCTTTTCTGAGAGAAGCGGAACAAATTTCAATGAAAGTTCAGCCAGATTTCTTATCCACTGACAAGACCAGGTAAAGTACTGGATACTATAAATACATAAAAATATAAAAGCTGACCTCCATTTGTTTGTTGGTTTTTTTTTTTTTTTTTCTAAATGAGCCCAAAAGCTTTGAAACAGAAACCTCTGTGAGAGGTGGACATCTATAGAAAATGTACTACAGCAACTGGAGTGAAAACATTGTGTTGGTTTCAAATTTCTTTGTGCTTTTTTCTTTAAAGGGGTATTTTTTTTTTTGCTAAATTTGTAACTGCTGCTGTTTTTTAGCAAGAATTCTAGTTTAAAGATAGGGGAGTGCAAAATGCAGAAAGCATACAGCTTAGTCAGGTGAGAGGGTAAGAAGGAAGGAGCCTTACTTCTAAAATTATTTTTCAGGAAGGGAATAGTTAAATAGTTTCTAACATAAAATATGACCAGTGTTCAAACAAACTCTGCCATTTCATTACAATATGTGTGATCTCTTGTACTTGCATTTTGAGCTGCAGTTGTGGGCTATAGAAAGCTTACAGAATATTTGCTTCTCTGCTTTTGCCAGGTTAAAATTTGGAACTTGACCAGACGACAGTGTATTCGCACTATACAAGCCCATGAAGGCTTTGTTCGTGGCATGTGTGCCCGTTTCTGTGGTACATCGTTCTTCACTGTAAGTATTATGTGTCTCCTTAATACAGTGCRGCAGTACAGAGTGCCTGTTCACCATCTGTTTTCCACGGAGAAACTTGCTCTCTGTCATACAATATTTAAATATTGAGTGAATAGGCTTATTAAATTTGTCAGTGAACCCGACAGTTCTAGGTACGATGAAATTTTTTCTGATGCTGGGACACGAATGTCATTGAAGACTATCGAAGGGATAAATACCAGAAAATAGCTAACAGATGGTCATATAATTAAAACTCAAGTAAACTAGTTTTTATTAAAATAGTAAGTGGATTATGTTCATTGAAAGACACAGAAGCATGTAAAAAAGTAACCATTTGCATATACTATGATTAAAGATAATCTGATTAAGTCAGCACCATTACATGTGAATTTAGCTTTATTAATTTACATCAACCACAGCAGATTCAGTTACATGTAAACTGCCTGGAAATAGTATGTCTTCCTGTTTGCATTAAAACAGTTCTAAGATGACACAATAGGAACTGTTTTTGAAAACTGAAGTGTCCTGAGATTGTACTTTGTCTGAACTGGTGATAGAAGAGCTGTTTTTACTACAGTATATTTATCTTATCTGAAATATATACCAGGGCACCGRGAGTGTAGTTAGGATGTAGGGGAAGTCATTGTGAATAATCCTAAGTGGCTCCAAGTTAGTGGCTTCCCTTTTGACAATGCCTCTGCCTGAAAATTGGGAGAGTGAGAGAAGAAGTAGTAGTAGCACAATCAGGGAGGGGAAGATAAACTTGTAAWGCTAACATTTTTTTAGGCCTTTTTGCATGATCCAGGTCACTGCACAGCCATACAAAAGCTTGTACTGGCATTAGCACAAGAGGTAGAACAGAATTTGGAGCAGGCGACCAGAGCAACTGAGGTGGAAAATGCCTTTTAACTGATAACATGCTCGTCAAAGTGACTTCCAGAAGAAAATTCACTGTTTCAGGTGCTAGTTGATTAAAAATCACAAAATGTAGCCTTAGAAAAYAGCCATCATTCCAGCTCACCGTTTTCATATTCAGCCATCTATTTTGGAAACTGGAAAAGCTTTGTGGGTCAAGATGGACAGTTGAATAGATGAAAGAAAGGTGGTGGTGGGAAAGATGTGACAAACTGGAAATCTATCACCTGCACTCACGTGCTGACAGATCCCCAGACAACCTGTGAGCAGCAGCCACTGTGGAGCCAGCCCCACCCTCYTCTTTCTGCTCCCACTATGCCAGCTTTTATGGCAGAGCACTGTTCTATGRTACGGAATASTCCTTTGGCCAGTTCAGGAYRTGTGTTATGCCTTTGCCCCCTCCCAGTCTGTTACCCACCCCAAGCCTGTTTGCTGGTGGGTGAGGCAGGGGCGATGGAGGCAGAGTGGGAGCAGGGGGAATGCCTTGGCACTCTGCAAGCCCTGCTCAGCARCAGCCAARGCTTGGGTGCTSTATCAGCACTGTCTTAGCCACAAATCAAAACCACACTGCCAGGTGGGCTGCTATGAAGAATGTTCTCTCCACTCCAGCCAGACCATGTACATGTTTTGACAACATATTATGACCTAATATGAGAGCTAATGTGCAGCTTGGAGGTATAAAATGGAACAGTGAACRGGCAGGAGAAAGCACTTGTGTATGTCACAGAACATTTTTTTGAAAGGCTGTTTGTATTTAACTGCAGAGCACATCTAGCAAAATAGAAGGGAATATATTTATGTAAAGCTGCACAYGCTTTGTTCATTATTTCCAGGTTGGTGATGACAAAACAGTGAAGCAGTGGAAAATGGAGAGCCCAGAATATGGAGAAGAAGAAGAACCTATTCATACAATTCTTGGAAAGGTARTAAATCTTGAGTTTTGATTTTCCCACATATTTTGAATTAAATTTGAATCAATTTTAATCTTTTGATGGAGAGAGATACCACCTATTATCATAATGGGTGATGCATCAGATTTTATAATGGCACTTTTGAGTATCTTCATGTTTTTATTACATTTATTTTACATGTAACCAGAAAGGACTATCTCAAATGCCATCAGAGGCTGCTTAGCTCTGTCTCCATTAATTATCCCTTTCCTGCAAACTGGTCCAATTTCTGTGTAGTCTCTTCAGATGTGTTGTCAGTGATTAGTCTGCATTAAATAATTTCATGCCAATACCCCAYAGCCATTCAATATAAAAATGCTAACTTTACATCTTTCTTTTTGACAAAAGCAGTCTAAAAAGATATACTCTGGCACTTTCAATTTATGATAAGCTTATATTAGGAAGAACGCTAAATGCTTTTCTCAAATAGATAGTTTGAAACTCTTTAGTTATTGCAATGTCTGTGAAATCCATTCAGGTTCCCACTGAAAATTCAGTTGCAGTCTTAAAATTTTCATTTGCTTTAAAGTCAGCCAGGATTTTGTAAATATGCCTTTAGTGCCAACTCCCTTGTAAATTAACTAGAAATGCGTGTGTGCACCTTCAAACGAAAAAGAAAGCTTGCTACTGGTAGGGTTACAGCCCATAAGACTTGGTTTCTTGTAGCACTGCTGACCTAATTTTCAGTAATGTAAATGAGTAAAATTATGGGAGACTCCATATGCAATGATTTGTTGACCTTTTTCTCTAACAGAACATACTTGCATATTTATGCATACATCTAAGTTTTTAAATATTTGCTTTGTTTTTTGGTTTTTTTTTTCCCCTTAAAGACAGTGTATACAGGAATTGATCACCACTGGAAAGAACCTGTTTTTGCCACCTGTGGCCATCAAGTGGACATTTGGGATGAACAAAGGACAAGCCCCAAATGTTCTCTGACTTGGGGTTTTGATAGCATAAGCTGTGTAAAATTTAATCCCATTGAGGTAATGCTTCTGTTATATATTGGAAATCAATATTTTTCTTGAGCAGTATGAGATCTAAACTCTCTTTACACCACTTGAATGTTTTTTTCCAAGTTGAGATTTTGATTTATGYTTTTATGGAATGTTTAGGGGGAGCATATACATGGATTTTTATGRTTATATTATTTTGGCATGCAATACCATATATTTTTATCTTCCTATCTTTTGTCTCTATTAGTGGGGAGAGGAGAAACAAAAGCAGGGTAGTCTCCTTTCTGCCCACAACAATGCATACCTGGTACCTCAGTCATACAGTGTTGCAGTTATGGGACTGTGGAGCTGCCAGTTAACTTGTTTCAGTATTCTACTACCTCTGACTGAGACTTCTCGCCCTCTCCATGTCAAAATAATTTCATTTGAATCTTTACAGAACTTATTATACCTCTGGGCTGGGCTATGCTCATAGAGAAAGTGTTTATGAGGAATTGCCTATTTGTTTTAAAGCAGAGGGCCCTGGATGGRTCCTGAATCTTACAGGGAAAGCTATTTAAAATGTTCATGCTGGATAATTAGCTACACAGAAAAAATGATGAATGTAGTTCCTTGTCTGAAAAAGAAACTGATGACCAGCTTTGTGAAATAGCTTAGATACCTGATGTAAGCTGTTAACCACACTCTAGAAGTATTTCAAAGACCATACACATTGGTTTTGGTTTTTCTTTTCAGACTTACCTTTTGGGAAGCTGTGCTTCTGACAGAAATATTGTGCTATATGATATGAGAAAATCAACTCCATTAAAGAAGGTACTATTTTTCTTTTAAAAATCAATTAATGGTGCTAATAATCATACTGAAGATGTTAATAGCCTGTAACTGTTTGTGACAGTAGAGAACGGGAAGCTCTGAACTGCAAGTTCAGTGAGTTTTCATTGTCTGAGTCTTCTGAGTTTGAATTAATGTTGGGATTTAAACAATGCAGAGTTAGAAGGGCCCTTTTCTGCATTCAGACGGGCTGTCATGCTCACTCTGTTGTTATTCTTGATCAAGTGCCTGACCTGACAGCAATTTCACAATAAGAACTTTATGTTCCTGTATTGCGTTCTGTCTMTGTATGTGTGATTTTAATTTTTTTTTCTCTCCTCCTTGCCAGCAAGAAACAACTTCTCCACTGGAGAGCCTTGCTCTGCATTTGAAAATGCAGGGGAGATAAGCCACTCCCCTTTTGTGGGGCGATAAGCCGTTCCCTATGCACTTACAATAAGCATTCAGAAATCCTTTGCAGTGTAATCAAAATAGTATTTCTATGTGGAACTTACCGATGACGTAAAGATTCTTATTTACAAGAATATATATATTTATTTTAGATAAGAAGCCAGTATTCATACACACATGTCAAACCTCAATCAAGTTCAGTAGTTCTGAGCCCCAGAACTATCTTAACAATATTCTTRAAATACTATATTATGGCTTGTGAATATGCACTTGGTGTTCTTCTGTGTCTGCATGTGTCATTGATCTGATACACACTAGAACATTATAATGGTATTTAGTTATAAAATAGAATGTTGTTGGCATAACAGTATTGCTTTCTCTCCCTGTGCCCCAACAATTTTTAATGAAGTTTCACTTGGACCACTGAGGCAGTGCTTGTAAAAACTTGTCAATGATGCTACCTGAAGACCTGAATGTAGAAATGAACACAGMCAGTGCTGTAGAGCTGCAGTTACAAGGTCAAAGGATGAGTTTGATCCTTTGTGAACTAAATTTGAATCTGTCAGAATATTTTGTGTGTATATATGCTAAATATATGACTGTACATAGATGTGCATATCGATCTGTGTGCACCTGTTTGTATATGTGTATCTCAGGTAGCAGTATGCTATTCCTGCTTTAGGAATAAAACACTGGTAAGTACTTCCTTGCTTCCATGGGCAGTCTACTGGGATAGGGATGATTTTCCTGTGGAGAGGAGGTGAAATGTCCATTTCTGCATTAAGAGCTAAGGACTCTGGAATTTCTAGGGGAAAAGTGCTGCTTATTAGAGRTACCTTACTTATGTATGGCCACTGGTTTCTGGGACTGCTGCATTCCTGAGATTTGATCAGCAAAGCAGGTGGAACTCAGTGGGAGTCCCTTCATTAACAGGAATAGGAGTACAGCTTCTCACATCATGAAGCAGTAGCTCTCTTGCCGTTTCTCCTGAGTGTGGGTTTGAAAGCCTTAAGTTTGAAAGAGGGAGGGATAAGACAGAGATGCTACCTATGTTAAAAATAAGAACTAGTCTGAAAAAGGCTCAGAAAAGATGAATGAAAGCAATTCTGTTGAAAGACAAGAGGTAAATGTATGTTTTGGTAGGAGCTGGTGCTCTTTAAAAGTCATTCTTGTGCAACCTGGAAAGCTCAGGGTGTTTTAAAGGATCAGGAAAGCTTAGGGTGTTTTAAAGAAAGACTAGCATTTAAACAGCTGATGGGAACTGTATTTTCTCTTGCTTGTTGCATTCTTAGCTATTCATCTCAGCCAAATACCTTGTAGGTAGTAAAGGAAGACAGTTTAACATTTTGGCTTAYCTGTTTTTGTGTTAAAATAATCTCAGCATTTCCAGGCTGACACCCTTTGTAAACTAGTGTTCGCATTTAAAATAAATAAACCAAGAAAGCCAAGTTTTCAGGGACTTCACAATTTTGAGTTGTCTTAATGAGTGCTTAAACTTACTCATTTTATAAGATGTAAAATATATTAAAAATAACAGTAAAAGCTGGCTCTGGTATGGGTTTAGATACTTCTGAAATGTCATCATTAATGTATTTACAGCAACTTAAATCACTTCCAGCCCAGGTTGTTTCTGCCTTACATAGTTGTTTCTGAACCTGATGCTAGAACTGTGCACAGAGTCTCATTTCTTAGGCACTATTTTAATTCCAAAAGCCAGCTGGAATGAGCTGAAGATTTGTAAATTTTGGTGAAAAAATAGAGATTCGGAGCATGACAAAACTTGAGTCCTTTTGAAAGAGCTGAATTTTTTAGCAACATAAATATTAAGGGAGTTATTTTTTGACATGATTTAAAGTGCTTATTATACTGGATTACTTGTTATAATGGTGGATTAACATTAGTTATGTGCTCATTTTGCAGTGGCTGATAAACTTGTACAGGAAGGAATAAAGAACAATTCTTGATTAGTAACTCCCCAAATTTGTGCAAGGTTTATAACTAGAACAATACTGAAATCTGAGCAAATTCTGGTTGTCACATTAGTGTAAACAGAGCATCTCAGTGGCCACTTTTTAAACTAGAGATCACTTTGGACATCTGGTCATTACGTTCAGTTCTGTGTTCATGTAGTTTCTGAAAAGAAGTGGTGTTCTGCAGCACTGACTTTATAATAAACAGGGTAAGGTCACTTAGGAAATGAGGACTTRGGGAGAATGAGAATTTTGAGAATAAGCACCCACTCACTGCAATCTTTTGGAGGGGTGTTCAGTAAAGTCATCATTATTAAATTGTTTTGAGACTGTGTTCATTACTGTAAGGGTTATAATTGTACAACTATGTTCTGAAATATGTGTGAATTTATGGGGCTTGGTGTAGTSAGCCAAAAACAAAAATGAGGTTTGAGTGCCATAGCTTTAAATACCAAATTTCAGGATTTTTAAGTAGGATTGTAGCTRGCCTGGAGCATTGTAAGAAATCTTATAGAGTTGTTCAGTTTGTTAGAGAGCATCTTAATACACATCCACTTTGTGTCAGGCCTACTGYATAGTTTTAAATACCGTGGTTGGGAGCTCCTCTCAGTCTCAGCAGAAGCCAGCGCTGCTGTGTGTGTTGTGTGTCAGGTGACCTCCTGCCTGCCTTGCCTTGTCCCACAGGGGCCCAGCTGTCCTCAAAGATGAGGACATACAGCTTCCTAATGCTTCTTGTCTAGGCTGCAGTTAGCAAAGTGGAAGGGTCTGTTCTCAGCTGCCTTCCTCCCACTTCAGGGCCAAACGGCCTCTTTGTTGGCCATTTGTGCTTACAAATGTGTGAGCAATGATTCACTGCTGCTACACTGAGAGTGCTGAGTTGATGGCAACACAGTGACTTCTGTATACATTGCTTGGCACTTTAGCAAGAAATGGCAACTGTCCAGGAGAATTCRTGAACTGCAGTTTCAGAATGAAATCATGAAGGGCTGATAACTGGGAGAGCATCAAAATGTTATAGTTGCTTTGCAAATGCTGGGTCACGACTTCAGTTAATGACTATGTCCCTTGAAATAACCGTTTAGTTAGGTCTGTCTATAGATTATTTAACTGAAGGTTTCTGTAAACAAAATGGAGAAGTGAAATTTCTCAGTTCCAGACTTACTTGTTGACCACTAGTAGGTTGCYACCTTAAATAACCACTTAAAAAGATTTTATTCTAAGGTGACTTACAGAGGAGCTCAAAAATGGGAAGCATATGATGAGGAACAGGAGGTTCTTGAGTTTCAMTTCTGACATTGCTGAGGAAATAYTCTGTCATGTCACTCTTCCTCTGGSATAATTCTGTATCTACAAAGTGCTTGTCTTCAGTGATATATAGGAAATTTTGAACTACAGTATTTTATTGCCTATGACAAGTTAGCAATGTGTAAATGTATTTCAGGTTATCTTGAACATGAGGACAAATACATTATGTTGGAACCCTATGGAAGCTTTCATTTTCACTGCAGCAAATGAAGATTACAAGTAAGTGTGACCTTGCTTTTTGATAATCCTGGACATGTTATGTTTTTAATTTGTGTCTTAGTGATTTATGAGCATGCTAAAATAAATTTTTAAAAGACAGCTCTAAACTTGAATCACTTAACCTAGAGAATTGTAGGCATGCTGATAATAAGAAATATGAATGGATAGTAGACTGCCTCTTTCTGTGTATTTCAGACTTGGGGGTCAAAAAGCAGTATAATTTAGAATAAATGCAGCTGAACCAATGCAAGTGTGACTTGAAATGAGACCTGGAAAATGTGTACTATTGGTCCTGTCTGAGGCAATATTTTATTTTCTTGCCAGCTCTTTATAAGCTTGATATATTGTACTGATCAGCTATTTTAAATGAGAACATTTCTTAAAAAAAATAAGCTTTTGTGAGACAGTTCTGGAGACTGCAGTACTTATCCTTACAATGTCTCAGAGCAGTTTTTTACTTTTGAACAATACCATTCATGTGAACAGCTAATCTGATWTTGAAAAAGCTGTATCTTCAAAACTAGGCCGTTGCAAATGTGTTCCATATCCTTTTTTCCAGGAAGTCTGTGATCTAACAATAGATCACTGTTTTCTTCTAGAACATAGGGATTTTATCACTTATCTTAAGGCTCTTTTTCCAAGGAAATGGAACCTGGCTCAGACCTTGAAAGTGGGTGTTATATTCAATGTGCTGTTTTTCAGACATTTGTCATAGTATGGTAAAATTATTAGGCCACCTGATCTGTTTGTTTATAAGTTTAGTTTTTGTTTATGAATTTGCTTTTTGGTTGGTTTGGTTTCTTAATTTTTTTTCCATCTACCTCTTGTTAAACTGAAGAATAGAGTTGTTACTGTCAGGGACAACTGTCCTCTTGYAGCCTGAAGCAATTAGGATGTAAAGGCAAATGCATATGTCAGCAATGCATGTGCAAGTATTTGCTGATAATATGGAGTAGCAGTTTTGAATATGATGCTGCATACTTTCTCTTTCGGAATTTGGAAGAAAATGGCCATTATAGCATTCAGTGAGATATTTAATTTCTTCATTCATCTGCAGAAAGGAGGGTGAGAAACTTGCTGAATTAATTTTTTTAACATAATAGTTCTACTAAATAGYGTATCTTAAGCAGGTTTCAATAAATGCATTGTCTGTAAAGCACATAGGCTTATTTGATGGTCTACRCAGTGTTTTTGCCTAGCATGTACCATTCAGCTTTTTTCAAAGGGTGTAGAGGTAGATTTTTTACCTGAGCTTTGAAGTCYTTAAGGGCAAACCAGGTGTGGTCCAGCAGCTGGGTGTTTACTTTTAACAAAATGCTTTCCTGTRGATAGTGTGCTCTGCTGAACTGGCATCTCCATGTGTAAGGACGAAGCTTTCCCTGTACTCCKACACTTGGTCCACCAAGCTTTCCGTGTACTGGGCTGGCCTAAGATAATTAGGCAGTAAGAAAGGGTGCCAGCCAAATGGAACTGTACAGAAGACTCTGAATTACTAGGAGTTCACAATATGAGAATATTTAGAAATCTTTCAGTATTGATAGGCTTGCTGTAATGATTCAGAGATGCTTTTACAAGTCAAGGTGTGTACCTATGTCTGAAGATGGACTRAAGGAGGCCAGTGTGATGCTTTGAGTCAGTGACCCGTGAACAGATGATGAAGGGAATAGTGGAGCCTATCTGTCCTTTGATAGTGAGCAAGAAACTCATCTGATCCAATTACTAAACCCTCTGGTTAACAAACTTCCTTCAAGCCCTTAACAATGCAGTTTTCTTTCTTTTCTCATATTATGAGCTATTTTAAGGAGTTCCCTCTGTGATATGGGTCTTTTCTTAAGTGTAGTTTATGTAAAATGTCCTATTTACTTAGGAATTGTGATGATATTAAGCTATTGATGTATTTATTTTAAAGCTTATATACTTTTGATATGCGCTTTCTTGAATCACCTGTGATGGTGCATATGGATCATGTGTCTGCTGTTCTTGATGTGGATTATTCACCCACTGGGAAAGAATTTGTGTCTGCCAGCTTTGATAAGTCCATCCGCATTTTTCCTGTAGACAAAGGTCACAGCAGGTGAGTAGCTTTACACCATTCTCTCTTGCTGTCATACATTTCGGTGACTTTCTCCCAAATCCTCAAMATTATTAATTCATTCATTAACATCTTCATTGGGGCATTCACTCCCTGTGAATGTTGAAATCTTAGTCTGTTGGTAGCTTGAGGCTTACAGGCTGTGTAGTTAATATAATTCTGGAGTATGGATCAAGAGTAGAACTGCTTATCAAAYAGCAGTACTTCCACAATATGGAATTAAATTTAGGATGGATTATTGTGCTTGGGTGTAGTAATTTGTGTTTTACCAATGTGAATCCCATTTCATTTCCCTCTCTATGCATCCTCAATGTTTTTAGGTTACTTTGTGCTGTTTCTGTCGCCACTTAAGAAGTGTGTGGTGTGTTGCAACATTGTAGCATTTGGTTTCCTAGGGATTCTCTTCATCCTATATGGATGATTGCTAAGGACATGTAAAATGTGTTGCTGTATGAATTCCTGAGGATCAGTTTGGGACACTCTTGTGATCTGTTTCAGTGCACTTACTACCTTGTGTTCATATTTTGTTAACCTGGTTTTGATTTGTAACACAGTGCTTTGAATACAATTCATTTGGATTTAGTTTTTCATGTAAGATTCCRTAAGTCAGTATATTAAATATTTTGCTGAAGTTCAGATTGAATCTACTGTGTCTCCATTATTTTTTATTTTTCTTTCAGTTTGATGAAAACTGAAGCAAGTTATCTGATCTGTCTGGTATCATTTGATCTTCATAAACCTACCTTCATTATTCTCTCCTSTCAGTTCTTCCTCCTATTTTTTTAYTCTTAACTTTATTTTACTTCTGCTTGACTGCCGCTCTCCAACCTTGTCCCCCYGCAAAGTTGTTACTAACTCAAATGCTAGGTGATTTGAGGGTGAAAAGGTTGAAATACTGGTTGGGGAAGGAATATATATTTATTATTGATTGATGAAATTGTGCATGCTGTGTAACTTTTTTGTTCTCCTGTGCTGCATTAAAGGGTGAGAGGGGCTGTTTTGCATCCCCTCYCTATCTAATCTTCAGATAGTTGTCATTTTTTGTCTTGAAGTAATATTTTAATGTAATGTTAACACCTATCACTGAGGGAAAGTTTGCAGACCCCGCAATGCAACAGTAAAAGGCTTWATTGCACATTTTAGGAGATGGTTGCCAGGATCTATGGAGAATGCCTTCCTCTTTGTCCCCACTTTTCCCTTTTGTGTGGCAGCCGTAAATCCTAGCTTCTGGGAGAAGCCTTACAAATGAAAAGTTTTGTCTCATGTAATATAACTAGAGTGTTCTGTTCCACTTAAAAATCTGTAGAAGCTGTGCTTTTTTAGAATTGCKCAGTTTATATTAATCTCTATTTGGAAGATCTGATTCTACTTGGAAAACTGAGAGGGCAGTTGAGAATATCTGTAAAAAATATCCYGATGCTGTTCTAGTTTTGACTTCTGATGTCCTGCCAATCTGAAAAACTCCTAACTTCAGTTTCATATTTAAATAATGAAATTGTTTAGCCCTAAGAAATATGAGTTAYTATAAAGCTGAGTAAATTTAATAAGTGCTTAGTAAACAGAACTGTGTTTCTGTACAAACTTTTAAATGACAGATCCAGGTTATTTTCCCATGTTTTCTGTTTTCCTGTCCCTGAAAAATTATATTTAATACCTTGAGATGACAGCCACAGGATAGGCAAAGGCTGCAAATTCCGAGTATAGAAAGGAAATACTTAGTTCCCCAAAGATGGCTGAAGAAAGCTTTGTTTCTGAGTCACATTGTAAAATGAAAGGAAACACAGAAATGCTTGTGAAAGTGTGGATGTGCACACATGCATTAAACAGTGAAAAGCTGATGTGCGTGTTAATGTTTCCTGATGCTTCTTGTGCTCAGTCTTCCATGTAGTTTTTCTTGTAGAGTATTGCTTGCTGGTGAATTACAAGGAGTGGTTAAGCTTATTAAAGCTTATTTATTCTGGTATATTGATTACTTTTTTTTTTTCTCACAACCACGTCAGCTCAACCCTTCAATTCAAGTTTCTCCACAACACTTGAATAGATGTTGTTGTTTTCATGTTTCTTTTACATTATTACTTGGATTTTCCTCACAAAAATAACGAAGTAGAAGAAAGAGAGTGGCTTATAAGCTTTAGTGTATGACTGGTACATCGAAGAAGTGGCTATTGGTGGACATTAAATAGGCCTTATTTTCTCCTTCCTTACAGAATGCTAATAAATAGCTAAAATTACCAGAAAAGTRTATTTAGTCCTTTATTTTTATAGCAGAAATAAAAGAATACAGTTGTTTGATACATACTGAATCAAAATTACTCAAGAGTTTACCTTAATTATTGGTTTAAATGTAGCATGCAAAAACATTTTTCAACAGCACTTGTTGAGCAGGAGTCTGATCGGCAGAAATTKAAAAAGAAATTAAGTCCATTTTTGGGTGAAGGAGGGAAATCACAATGAAGAGTAGCAAATCCATTGCCATATCATAGATGGATGGCTGGGAGGTGTTTCTTTGCTTCTCGTTTTTTTACTCACAGTGGTGTCAGATCCTTTGGCACCTATTTTTCTGCATTCCCGTTCTATAATACTCTCAACGTAAAAGCATATTATTTAAAATTATTTCAGAAACAGTTGCATATCMCTGTATACCTGTGGCATGTTTTGCAAAAAGAGTCATTATTTAACTCTTTACTATATGAATTTCTATGAAAGCACTTGTTTGAAACACATCTAATCCTAGGTGATCCTTTATCAGTCTATCACACTTCATTTGTACCTCTATCTGTAGGAAGATRAGATCAGCACACTTTAAAATAGTCAGATTTTTTTAGAAACAACAGCAACAAAAAAGTTAAGAAATAAATTTTGTCTTGAACAGAATGCTTTCTGTTATGTACAAGGTAATGGTGACAAAAGTGATGATAGCAAATTTAAAAATGTTTCTCTTTGCTTTAGGGAGGTTTATCATACCAAACGAATGCAGCATGTCATCACTGTAAAGTGGACTTCAGATAACAAATACATTCTTTGCGGCTCGGATGAAATGAATATTCGCCTGTGGAAGGCCAATGCTTCTGAAAARCTAGGAGTGGTAAGAGTGGCATTTTGCTTTCTGCTATCACAACATGTTTGGGGGTTTTTGTTGTTATCACAGCCAGTTAGCCTCTTCAGCTTTTAAAAACTTGTTTCTAAGGGAAAGCTGTAAAATTATAGTTTGACATTTGTGCTTAATTGGCAGACTGACATGTGCAATATAGCTCATTGCTTTTACTGTAGGTAATAATAATAACAATAATAAYAGTATGACATCCCTTAACTATACAACATTCTTTCCTGAATCACAGCTTCCCATTGTTGCCACAAAAGGATGGTTTTTGGTCTTGGTTAACATTAACAATACTYATCAGTTCTATATAAATTAGATTAGAATTTTTTACCTGTGTGCTTATGCTAAGAATTAATTCCTTATCACTAGAGAAAAGGTAATAAATTCTTTTTACCCATACTTAAGTAGTTCTATTGAAGTTTAGAGTTAYTGGTTTTAAAGATTTTGACTGGCATGTAACTAGTTCATGTTCATTTAAGTTTGTTAAAAAAAAAGGATAAAAATAAAAAAACCCATGCTGTGATAAGCATAAAATAGTCTGGCACTGACGCATAGCTGAGGTTGTCATTAACTCTGAGGTACTAAGTGGGCAAAGTCRTATGGTACCTGAAGTCCATTTAATTCAGTGTAAATGTGTTTGGTGGAGGTGTTCCTCGTGTGAACAATCACCAGCCTCATTAGATAAGTCTTTCAGTTACACTTGTTCAAACRTGTATGTATAGACAAAGCCCAGATGTTCCCTTTCAGTTACCAATTGCATAGCTTTACCTGCACAGTTGTATCAAAGTATTGAGTGACTTTGGAGAATTAATTTGGCACTTTGTCTGCTGGGAGCAGTCCCTTTATGTAGCTTTATGTTGTTATGGTATTTTGGAGGTGCTTACATTGCCTTTTCTGAGCCCATCAGCAGAGCTGTCAGATAATGCCTGGGGGAATTTCTGCTTGATCTTGTGAAAGGTTGCTGGGAGAGGAAAAGGAAGCTGTGACTCAGGGAAGAATGTTGTACAGTTGAGGTGATGGATCTGTTGCATRCTTATGTCTAGGACTGCTTCTGATTACCTGAAGCTCCATCAAATTTAGGAGGGAAGAGGAGCAGAGTGGAGAGGTGGCAGGTGGAGGGAGTGGTAGGAGTTCCAGGCCTACACTGGAAACAGGATAATTCATGCGCTCCTGTGCACTGTGAAGCACTGGATATGGAGYTGCACAGTTAAAATAACATGTATGTCTTTGGCTGTGGCCTGCCAGAGGTATTGGGAAGTCCTGTTGCTATTCTCGTTTTTGCTGTAGAGCAGTAGATTAAAAAACTCACAGCTTTGTGGTCTGAGCAGTAATTGTGATTRCAAACTACTGTTTAGGTTGAGGTTTTTTTAATTTTATTTTTTTTTAAGAATACCTCTTTTTTTGAGGTTGCTTTGTTTTATTTTTTCCCCTTCTCTTCTGCTTTGATTCTTTGGATTTTCTCATGTAGTGCTTTGATCAAACACTTAAATACCAGTTCCATAGTTGCTGATTCTGGGGGTTCCACAAAGCTCATTAGAGACTTCACTTTTTGATTTCACTTTTATGTTCAATTTGTTTAGGTAGTGCAGTGTTGGGTAGAAATATTACCTGTTTTCCTTCTGTTATATCCATATGCTCATGGAAACACCCTTCTCACCTAATTTTATGATGTTATCTAAAACTTTCTCTTTCTACTCACTATATTTTTCATGAGAGATTATGATGTTTCTCTCTCAGATGCTGTTCTGTAATGGAATTGTCGGCATTTTTGATGTTCATTTTTACTCTAAACCCTTTGTGTGAAGGACAAGTGGGTAAAAAGAACGTCGCAAATACCATTTTTAAGTAGAAGGATTCCTAATATTTTCAGATGTGAACAAAAAATTCACTGTATTGACTACTAGATGGCATTGGCTCCTTTTCTTATGAAAGAATAAGGATAATTGACTCTGGGAAGTAATAGGCAAACACAGCTACTCCTGCATTGCAGAAATGTTGCATACCAAAAGGAAAACTTAGCTATTAAGTGTTCAGAATGTAGACTGCTAAACAATATTCTGCTGTTTACTGTAGTATTAGAATCAGTGAAAACTGGCCATGGATGGGCCTAAAAAAAAAGCCACTACTAATTGTGACGATTTGGTATTGGATATGGCCTGCACATTAATACCCTTGTGTTCCTTGACCTGATGGTGAATCCTACACAAGGCAGCCTTTGTTGTTTTCCTGTGTAAGTCTGGTATTGTTGCTTGCTGTTCCCCTTGGAGGCTGTGCCCGTGATTTTGTGCTGCTCTTCTCTTATGGGATCATTGCAGTGAAGCGTTTGTAACGTGGGTAAGGGTGTGCATTTCTGTCCAAGCACTTTGGCTGTCAGCTCCCAAGAGAACTAAATCAATAACTGTTTATGGCACTGGTCAGGTGGCATGTGCCTTACTATTTGATTTTTTTACCCTTCTTTTTTTCAGGTTTTTTTTGGGAGSGATTTTTTTGTTGTTGGGTTTATTTTTTTACTGTCAGAAGGGGAAATCCTTCCATAATTTAGAATACAGAATTTATCATCCTATCTTAAAAAAAAACCCACCTCAGAACATCAAAAAACATCCTAGGAAAGCAAAATTATTTAGAAATACAGGAAGAATTTAAAAGGGACATAATGTATTATGTAGAAGAACTGCTCTCATTTTGCAAGACAGTGATGAACTTGTGAAGAATTACATTATAATGAGAACATTTCATATCCCCATATCTTATGTGGAAATGTGTTGAAGCCTTGAATTTAGTAAGATGGAATTTTAAGCTGGCTGAAGTGGCTATAGTTGTAAAAAAWTTTTTTTAGAACCACTATGAAATTTTATTTTTCAGATGTTTAGTGAGTAGTTGTTGCTAATAGGACTCAGGAGTCCTCCCTCACAGCTTATCATACCCTTGGATATATCTTGGAAATGTTGCTTGGATTCAGGCAACTGTGCCAATCCCTGTTTGAGCCAACCTGGTAGTTCCTGTGATTCTTAACACTGCAACTATTAATGGCTATTTAGCAGGTTCCACTGATTTTCTTTAGTATCTGCTTCTTTTTTAGAGTATTGGTGTTCTTATCTTCACAGACATATGCTGGCTCATTTTGTAAATGTCCAGTTCTTACACTGTCTGTGGCTATTTTTTGAATGTTTTGAATATTCAAAGCTGAACATTCAGTAATTCTGTCAGAAGTGTCAAAATATGTCTTAAATGCTTAGTTGCTTGGTCTGCTGTTTTTCTTTGCTGAGAAGATTTGATTGAATGACTCATCCAAAGGTCACTGTATTTCTGATATAATGCTAAAATTTTGCAATACATTGYATTTTAAGATGGATATTTTTAGGCTGGGGATGGGTAGAAACCAACATCCTGAAAAAAGRAGAAAAATAGTAATCAAATATTTTTTTTTCTTTGATGAGTACTTAGTTGTTTTTATGCATTGCTGGGTTCCAAGGAAGTTACTCATGTTTTGGCTGGTGAACATTTATCCAGTTGGAAAGTTGTACTTTCTGAACTGTAGCTACCCAAGCAGTCATCAGTTCTGACATGCATGTTTCTTTCGGGTTTTAATGTATTTGGCACTGCACTCATTATTCAAAATCAGTGAAACATGAAAGAAAGAAGAAAAGTCTCTGGAGGAGCCAGAGGCATCTTGTGTCTCTACTCCGCTGACAATTAAGTCTGCACAGGTTTTACATGGGTTACCCCTCTACAGGGGTAACCAAACCCAAATATTTCTGTTGGAGCTACTGCAGAGGCTGCTATAATACTTTTCAACATTTAGTTTTAATTAAAATTTCATTAATTGATTAAAATGTAATATTAAATAGTACATAACAAGTGTTATTTTTTAAGCAATAAACCATTTATCTCTGCATGCCCAGAAGCAAAAGACTCAATTAAGACTTGAATTGAACTCTAGGCTGTTCAATTACATAAAATATGACTTGTTAAGTATGTTTGATGCTTTTTTACCTGTGCTTTTGAAGATGTTTGGGGCTTTATGAAAAGGGAAATGATTTTTACATTTGAGGAGGAAAATAGAGCCTCATCTGTGTGAAAGGCTGAAAAAAGCAGTAACAGATTTCAATTAAATAGTGTACAATTAATGTAATTAATAGAAAGAAAGGGATAGACTAGATTTTTTGAATTGTACTTAAAACAATGAACCATCAGTAAAACTTCTAAAAGCTGTATTGTGCTTCAGTCTACTGCCACATCAAARAAGAAACTATACCTACAGTTCTTAGAGTGTGAATTCTTAGTAACATCACTTCTGTGAGTAACAGCTGCAAAATTTGTTACTTTTATGAATTAAAACAAAGGAGTGGGTTAGGATTTTAGTAAAACTGGATTTTAGTAAAACTGCTAATGAGTGAGTGAACAGTAGTGGAGCATAGGTTTGCTGCTTCCCTGAAAAATACAGAAGTAACAGATTTTGAATATGGTCTGGTAGAYATAGGAGAAATGCAGTTAGAAATCTTAGTTTTGATCTAGCAAAATGCATTAGCAGGAGCTCATCAAAACTGTCTAAAGCAATTGTTTATCCTTTCAATCTGTTTCTACTATGTGGTTCCATTTGCTGAGTTAATGCTGATAACAAGCAGTACCAGATACTGTGGGACGTGGCATTCTTTTCATAGTGACTTTGGGCTTGTGATTCAGTGCACCTGTAACTTCAGCCCTGTAGCTATGGTTTTATGCTCCTAACATCTACATTGCCTTACATTACCTTTCTGGTTTGTGCTTTTGTCATTCATTTAGATGTAAAGAAATCAAAATTTTTGGTCCAGGAAAGAATGAATAATAAACTTGAAGGCAATAAATTTAGAGAGGTGTTTTCAGCAGAGCAATGGAAAAATAAATAAATACTAGCTACAGTGTAGAAAACTGCTGGGATATGTTTGATTCCAAAAATACATTGCATCTGTGCTCTTGCCTGCCCTAACTGAGAAGGGCAACCTGAAGAGTACAGATAAACATTCATTTCACATTCTCATGCTGAATTACAGAAGTCTTAATAGTGTGGAGTTTTAAATACGGCACAGTACAAGTACAACCCTCTTGAGGACGAGAGTTTTTTTAAGCGTGGTTTTAGCTTTTAATCAAGGCTTCAAAAATGCTTACGTTCCCTCTGTTTAAATGGGAAAAATAAGCCATCTCTATCATCAGGAGGGAGGAGAAGAGGCATGGRCAGTTTAYTCGAGGAGGCATTTTCCTATTGCTGACAAATTGGTTGCATTTAAAGAGTTCTTTTTCCTGTYTTTTTTTCCTSCTARGTATTTGCTGTGARGTCCTMCTGTGGTATTGACACAAAACAGCTATGTTTTTGCCACATAATCTTCATTTTCCTCATGTAGGAAAGAAATTGCACATTCATTTTTGGAACATATGAAAAAATAGTCATATGTCACCTTTAAGCATGTCTTCCCCTCATGATGTCACACAAATCCTAATTTATTATATTTGTTAAATTGTAGAGTGTTCTAGGCCCTATAAACGAAATCTCTAATTCTGCAAATCATGCTGTGCATCTTCTCCAGCCCAAAAGAGAATGGGAAGGAACGCTGTTCTCTTCAGCTGTTCACACTGACCTTTGTAATGTGACTTGCAAGAGAGAGGCTGGAATTCAGCACATTATTGCAGTGTGCTTTCTTAGCTGTCTGCTGTCTCTCATAAAGGGAACTYGTCATTACTGCAAAATTTTCTTTTACCATTGTGTGGATGAGGGTGCACTTAGCACAGCCGGGTGTATTGGCCTCTGGCATCCCGTRGTTGGATGGAAAGTCACCAGCTGTGTGCCTTTCTCTGTACCACATTACCCATAAAAATGGAGTCAGGCTCTACCCACCTCTTAATCTATACTAATTTTTAAAATAAGATGTCCTAGATGTATCTTTAATTTACAGATTCACCTCTTGTCTGTAGAATCAGCAAGGTTGTACTAAATCAGCMGCAATTTGGTCTTCTAAAATTAAAAGAAGATCATTGCATTTAATTAAAATAAAGCTCTTTAATTTGGATTATGTTTGCAGTTTTCTGCGAAGTGAGAACACCTGGGATTTATTGAGAGGGAACCAGCGATTCAGGCTGACTCACAAGAAGGAATTTCAGTAAAAAGGGAGAGGGTAGCTTTAATGGGCTAAAATTGTAGAATTTACTCCATTTCAGAAGCCACAATGAATGTAAGTAAATTAGGAACAAGCAGGTGTGGAGAAACTGGTTAAGAGCATCGTTTATTTCTGTTGCCAGAATAAGAATTGTTTGAGCCATGAGCAGCTCTGCATCTGGTACCTATTTTCTTTATTGTCCCAGACTGGAAGCTCCTTTGTGGCATGTTTTATTAGWACTTGCTTTCAGATGATTTGTAGTATTCTGGACCAAAATCATCTGAGTGTGATATTTTATTTATTTAGCATTCATGAAAAGTTCTACCTGAAGTCACATACAAAAGTGATCTCCAGAGTGGAGAATAAATAGCCAATTGCTGATTTCAAGGGGGAGYGTTCCCATATATTTCGAGTGAAATTTCTAACTGTGTGTAATAAAGTTGTTGGTTCTGTTACGGCTTTTTGTTTGTTAGCATCTGAAACTCCGGTTCTGTCTTTTCTTGAAAGTATGGAGTTGTTTACAAAGCTGAATAAGCAGAAGTTGCCTGAACTATTTTTTTACTTTTAATGTATCAGATGGACATAGTAGTATATGCACCATGGTTTAATTGAAAATATGAAGCATTTTAGGACATCTGAAATATTGGAGTTSCACAGTTTGGGCAGGAGGGTAGGAAAAAGAGGATGGGATTATCATGATCCCATATTTAATACTAACAGATTTTATGTTTGTATGAAAACTTACCAGACTGAAATGCAGCTGAAATTCTCAAAGATCTCAAATCCAAAATACATAGAGACTGCTGTTCCTCATGAAGCAATGCATGCTTTAAACAAAAACTTTTTTTTTTCCTTTTAATAAATAAACATTAGGACCAAAGGGAAAAAGCCTAAGTGGAAAAAAAAAAAAGCCTTCTGTAGATTGGCTATCAGGAGAAGGTGTTTCTTACTTCAGTGTTGTTAATGGTGTCTTGGACAGAATTTTAAGAATAAATTAAAAATTAATCTTTTGTGCAATACCAGCTCACTTGTATTTCATGTGTTTGTAATACTAATTTTTAGCTGCTTGATGAAAGTTGGAACTGCCTGTGTGCCGTACAGTAAAGCCAATATTTGAAATCTGATACGCRCGTTATGCTTCCTAAGGGATCGAGGTGCTGGGTAAGATTTAGGCCACCTGAAGAGCTGTCTGTAAAGCTGTTCATCAAGACAGTTCCTCTGTAGCATTTATACTTACACTGACCAGTGATTAAAATGCTTGCAAATACTTGTTTTACAGGGAAAAAGCTTTACAGGGAAAAACTTTACAGGGAAAGTTGATCATCATCAGAGGTTAGGAAAGACTAATGAAARAGTGTTTACTGTCAGCTATTTATGGTCTCTTTTGTTTCTCTACAGCCCATTCAAATCTGAATCTTGGGAATTAAAATTCACTCAACTTTAAAATGATGGTATTGTTGGAAKTTTAGGTTTTTTAATACTACCTGCCCTTATTCTGAAGGAATTTTCCACAAGGAAGCCATTTGAATGARAAGTTAAAATTTTGTTTAGTAGAGAAGATTGACAGTTAGATCCCTGTTCTTTTATAATGTGCTTGTCTGTTTTGTTTTCCCTGTAGCTTGCRCCCCGAGAGAAGGCAGCCATGAATTACAATCAGAAGCTGAAGGAGAAGTTCCAGTTTCACCCCCAGATCCGGCGCATAGCTCAGCACCGACACTTGCCCAAGAGCATTTATTGCCAAATCAAGGAGCAGAGGATCATGAGAGAGGCTCGGCGGCGCAAGTAYGTGTTCATCCTCTGGCTTTGCTTTCTCTTCCTCTTAATAAAGTGCATCACTGCAGTGCTGCTGTAGCAGCAGTGTATGGGAGTGATAGAGCTGCTTTTAACATCTGAATGAGTGATGATGAACTACTGGATTGAATATAAGGAAAAGGCAGACAAGTGCCAGTGAGGACTGGCGGCTTCCCAAAAGTACAGTGAAGACATGGCAACAAATACCATACTGGAAAGAGCCACGGTGCTTGGTTAAGCGTAGCATGATTCCCCATTGCAGTGGAAATAGGATGGGCTGTTTTGGGTGTGTGGTGGGATTTTGTTTTCATTTGTTTTTTTGTGGGTTTGCGGTTTTGTTTTTTTTGATCATGCTGGATTCCAGGATGAATGTTTGATGCTCCCTGGATCATTGCCATATTGGAATTTCTAGGAGCAGGAGGTGGCATACTTTGCTGCAGCTATTGAATTAACAGCAAAGTGGTGGGTCTTAGTCATCTTTATTAACTAAGAATTCTATGAACTTGAGCAGTTGATTCTGTTGACATGAAAACCAAGCTGAGCTCCMAAGAAAAGGCTCTATTTGAAWCCTTTCTAAATTAGCCAACTTTAAAGTTACTTTTAAAAGGGATGGTCCTTCTTCCCAAAGSAGTATATGGCTTTTGATTAATAGAAGCAGAGCAGTTCTTAGCTTTTTTGGTTTTATTTGTAGAAGTCCATTAGTAGTTTGAGGAGGAAACTAGTGTGTTCCTCCAGCATTTGTGCTGAYTACTGAGTTTTATTTTTCTATTTTTTTTTTCCTAGGGAACAGAATCGTCGTAAGCACAGCAAGCCGGGATCTGTGCCATTTGTGCCAGAGAGAAAGAAGCATATTGTGGCAGTAGTGAAATAATTCTTTTCACATGTACAAAATGCTACAATGAAAGAAAAATGTCACTGTTGAAAGAATAATATACTGTACAAAATTTGATGGACATTGGTAAGACAGCATATGGTTCCAGAAACATGACTTTTCTTTCAGGTTTGTGCATCCTCTGACTTCTTAAGTCGTCATCTGCTCTGAGTAGTTAGGAGAATTTGCCTTGTAATCTTTTATTGCCCTTTGCCTGACGTTAGTGACCCAACACTGTGTTGCAGTGKAGTTTGACCCTTTTGATACAAGCAAATAACTTGGTGGAGGATATCTGTAATTCCAGTTTTATTCCTTGGTTTCTACAAAAGAAGGATGAAATAGGTTAATATTTGTTAGAGAAAAAAAACCTGCTCCATACACAGTTGCAAAAATGGTCTCCCTTATGCTGTCTTTTTTWAAAAATATTTTTATTTAAATGAATTTAATAAAATAAACAAGTGACCTTAAGCAATGGACTAGATTTTGATTATTCCAACTTCTGAATATTTTGCTTTATATGTCTTATAATACAATATGAATTTTTTTAATCCAAAAAGAAATTCAACAGAATTTTCAGACATGTGTAAACATATTTATAATTTCGCTCTGGTTTCTTAACTGTTGTTACATAACTTGACCAAACTTCGGACTGTTAAGTTGCTACTATTGAAAATTAAATAGTTAAATAACTTTTTAAAACTTAGAAAGTCTGGATGAAAAATGACATAAATTGTATAAATCTCACCATAATCTCATCTCATAGATGAAATTTGTTGGAAGCCTTCTGTTTTAAGTTTGTTGAAGAAAAATGGAAGCTTCACACTTCACAAGGTATCTGTAGCCCGAAGCTCCTTTGCAGTGTGCCTGGGAAATGCTCTGCTTCTCTTCCAGTGGGATAACAGCCTTTATCTGAAGATGCCAAGGTGATCAGAAAACTATGCTGGAGTTAAACGAGGTTGTCTAGACTGAAGAGAAATATGAGATGTGGAATAACCYTAATGTTGCTTAACATCATCTGTACAAAAAGATCTTTCTAAGTCTTAACACTACAGTCTGGAATTATACTCTCCTTGCCCTGAGCTTATGCACAAAAAAAAAAAAATATGAACTCAATTAGCGTAAACTTTACACTTAATTTTGTTTTGATCAGATTGAACACTTTGAGCACTTGTCTTCATGTAGTATTCGGTTTAATGTATCTATTTGACACTAATCTTTATGCATTTCTAGTTCTTACGCTTTAACTTGTCTATTGCAGTACCATTTGTGCAAGATTCCTGAATGATCATGGTRAAATCATGGCTCTGTGATAAGAGGCCATAATGTATCTTTTACTCTCTGGGTCACCTACCTTATGGAGTGATGCGGAAGAGAAGCAGATCTGAAAAGCTATAGGTAGGATGATGAGAAGGACTGGAACAGATCAGGGAATAGGCCGATACTGGCTGTGTGCCTGTTGTACTAATACAGTGCACTGTGTGCCAAATAGAGTTTATTTTCTCCCTGAAATACTGAAAAAATTGAGAGAGTATGCAATCTAAAGTATGGCTTGTGACACAGCTGTAGTCAAGTCTTGCACAATTTGCAAAACCAGACTAATCTCCTGAAATGTGATTAAAAATTTTCAGCCTTGTCAGTTTAGCTTGAGTTGAAGTTGTTGATTATTGATTTATTGAGTCATGATAACCTCTGGTTGTGAACAAGCCTGGTGCTTGGAATTTCTGAGCTTTGGTGCAGAACTTTGCATGTAATGAGAGCTTTCAGTTCTGCAGTTAGGTTATGGTGATGTATTGGTGTGGAGCAGTTGGCATAAGCCATGTCCAAATGATCTCCTCGTGTTCTACCATGTTTGTCCACTGTTGCTTTCAGAGAGGATCTGGATGGTACAACTCAAAGGATCAGGGTTAGCTGCAAATTGCTAGAAAGTTTGTAACGATGCTGAAAAAAGGAATTTTAAAGTTAGGAGTGTACTTGGAATCTGTGCATTCAGTTTTAATTCCTTTTCCAAAATCACTGGGTATAGGTTTACACAGAGATTGGTCTTGGCGTCAAATGGGGCACCCTCTTAGCATTCCAGGAAAAAGTCTGTTTTCAAAAATCAAATCTTGCTCTAACTTCTAGAAATATACTAGTTGTAAAACCAGCATAGGTTTGAGCTGGAGTGTCAGTCGGAATTTTGCAGATGGCAGTTGCTGTCTGTCAGTTCAGAGGATCCCTGGCCATRGATTTGTACACTGTTGGCCTAGCTCATGTTGATTTATCCCTTTTGGAAACCCTTAGATACCTTTGTGATATCTGTCTCTGATACCTTTTGCGGTCATCCACCAAAAGTACATCATGCCACAATTCTAAGAGCAGGGGTTTTCAAATTTAAATGTAGTTGCCAGGTCGTAGCTGTGCTTACAAGAAGTGCTCATGTAAGTCTGTCACAGGCCATTACTGAAATGATTTAGAAATTAAAATAAAGGAGCTGGAGCCCTTAATTGTTTTTTTTATTTGATGGGGGGTTTTAAAATATTTTTCCCTCAGTTATTTAAGTGGTGTAATCAGACCTCATCTTAATGACCTTATTGGAGTTACCTAGATTTATTAAAATTATTATATGTAAAAAGACTATGGATACGTATATCTGTGTGTATGTGTACCCAAGTGTATGCAGAATAAAATCCTTAGCATCACATAAAATACTGAAAATCTAAGGCAAGTGGTAGTGTTTCCTTTCAAAATTTTGGTGTTGATGATTGAGGAAAAAAAGGAGATGATMGATTATTTGCTAAACAAATGCATTGCCTCTAGATCTGCTGATTTAAAAAAAAAAAAAAAGAGATAACTTCTGTATATGTTCTTCCTATGGAAAGATACTTAGGGAGTGTTTTGAAAGGGAAATATTTTTTATTGCAGAAATACTTAAATCAGTATTCATAGCCTTGGTCAATTTTAGCTGTTTCATGATACAGCAGCTATGGAGTCATCAATGTTTTATTTCTGTTTTATCATAGCCAGACTATGTAATGAAAGAGATATTTGAATAAAGTAATTTCTTTTRCTCTCCATATATTGTAGATACCTGAGTGGCCATTTAGTTTGTTTTAGGTATGTGGAAATATATAAACCTTTTAGACCAACTAAAAATTTCAACAGGAGGTTTTTTTTGCCAGTGTCCATGTGGCCCTTCTTCACTTTGCTCATGGTAGCAGAACCCCCTGGCTTTTGATTAGGGGTTGTAGGGTTTTTTTTTCCCCTCCCAAGCCAAAGGACCCAGGCTGTCATGATTCTGTATCATCAGGCTCGTAACAAAATAAAATAGCACACCTACACAGCCTACAAACAATAAACACTCTGCCAGCCACAGATCCRCAGGGGCAGAGTGCAGTCCTGCCCTGGCACCTGTGTAAACAGGGGCTGTGCTGGGTRTCGCTGCTCCACCCGCTTCCTTCTCCGCTGTGCGTGCACACACCTGCAGCCTGGGGCTCTGGCAGCTGCTCTGTCACACACTCCCGGCTCTGGCTGGCTTCCAGCACAGTTTCCCAACAGGCCCTGGACCTTCAAGTCCCTCGAGCATGTGGTCCTGCTCCARTGGATCATAGTCCTATTGTCCTGCTTGTGGGCTGGTCCCACTTGAAGTTTGCGAGCCTTGATGAAGTASGTGTGCACAAGACTAGTGTGTGAAATAGGGTTCAGTAATAATGTGGGATGGAGTGCAGCAGTGCAGTGTCAGTGGTAAGCTGTCTACATTGGACTGGTCCCCTTTATCCTCTTTGTCCTTGGTTTTTCTATGTCTCTCCAATCTGCCTTAGTCACTCCCTGTACACACTTTCAGTGGTTCCCCTAAAACATCCCAGAGTAAGTTYTGCACATTGCTACAATCTATTAAAAAATAATCCTGTAATGTTTTACACARTCCCTAAATTCTTATTCCTCTGAAGTCATATATCCTTTAGGTAATCCCTCAGTTTGCACAATCTTCTATGGAGTTTCCTATATTTGTTTAGTGAGTTTTGCATTTGGAGCAGTCATCTGGATCATTYMCCTTCCATGTTTTTCAGATGGGTGAGTCTGTGCACTTGATTTTCAATAGTTCTGATCCTTGCCATGGTTTTGTGTTTAATTGTGTAGCCTTTAGTCAGATAACACACTCTGTTATATGGAAATATCTCTGCAGTACTTTCCCTGCAACTGGACAAAGAATGTGRTGGAGSCAGTAGAATTCATCTTGCTTAAMCTTAGATGTCTACGGTGCAGGCTCWGTGAGYAGTTTTGCATACCTAATGTGTACTTGGTGGAGGTAAATACTTATTTCAGGAGATGCTTRTCCCATTCTTCAGACATTTATATTTTAGTTAAAACTTTATTTATTTTTATAATTAACATTGTGATACGAAATATGACTAGCTAACTTACGAGTCTAGGTTTGGATGGAACTGCACACAGAGGCAATAGGTTTAAGATGAGCAAAACCAGTGACATGTGAATACCTTCTGCCCCTTCTGGAAGTTCTTGTCTGCTATTCAACACCATGGAAGTCTAAAAATGTTTGAAGAGAGATGAATGAGGTTTTGTAACTGAGGACAAAAAAATTCCTGTGGATAATGGTTTGTGAGAAACAAACTCCATAGAAGCTAGAAATCAGAGAAAGATGGAAAAGTGTTTGAAGAAAGGGAACCTTAATTAGAGAGAGAAGACTGTGATGTGTTCACTTAGGGCTTCTGGAGCTTTAGAAGGTAGGTGCAGAATTCTAGGACAGAATCAAAGATCAYACTTCAAATACCACCAACTAAAAATTTCTGAAAATGTCATTACTTACTATATTAAATAAAAAATACATGCTTCCTCTCAGTTAAAAATCGTGTACTTTGTATGAAGTTTGAAACAAGTTTAAGGACTTATTTTCAAAGATAATAAATAATTACTGTTACACTAATTTTAAGCAGAGCTGCTGTTTTACAATGCCTTTAAAGTCTGATCTGTGATCTCAGGTTTTTAGAATACATAGTGGAATATCTTGMGTTTTAAAATTTCTCTTATATTAATGAATGGTAGTATTCTTAGTGATTTCATTTTGTCTGAGGCTGAAGCAATTTCAGCAGCTGCAAACAATGTGTGCCCAGTGGGTAGATGGAAATGATCAGAAGCTGATAGCATGTTGCATCATGTTTTCTACTTTACAGCTTGTGTGGGCAAAACCAAAGATCTTTCAGCAGACAAAAGAGCATTGCTGATTATTAAGAAGATAAATGGATGGAGATAGTATTTTGACTGTCATTGTAAAAACCATAATATGACAGAAAACCACAGATTTAATATAGATTCAGTAGGCATATTGTGTTCATGTATTTATTACAATACTGAGATCCAAGTCTCTAACTTGTATTCAATCAGAGGGGAATTATTTGAAGATCTGGCTTTTTTTTCTAAGAGCCTTCTGTACAATATGACCATTTTTTTCAGCAACCTGAAAAATGCCATTAATTTATGAAAGAGGATATGAAAACTGTTGTGGTGTAGGGTACATATGAATTGTGGGACCTAGCAAGGGATAGGGGATCTGTTACACCTGCTAAGAGTGGCTGTTGCATCAAACACTGGCCTGAAACMAGTCCACCAGTTCATGACAGCCAAGCCTTATCAACAGCTGCAGAGTCCCAGTCCGGGCACTCCTGCTTTTGCTATCTGGGGCAAACATCCCTGGGTAGCTCAGCAGCAGAATTTGGTCATTACTCATTTCCCTTTCACTCTGTCCTGCAAGAACAGCTGTTTGCTGCTTTTCTGCACTTTGAGATCTAGGGTAGAGATGGAGCAGTGCCTGGGGATGAAATCACTTCTTCCTGTTGGTAAAACTGTTCTGATTTGAGATTTTCCTGCATTATTGTTTTCTTTTTCTTCTGTTTTTGTTCTCTTTATATCCCTGCTTCCAAAATAGCACCTCAGTAATTCTTGCTTTCTTTGTGGTCATCACTGACTTGGCTGTAGCACTTAGGTTTTGCTAATCAGAGACTTCTTTTTTGAKATTATTTCTACCATATGATGTTTGGGGCAATATTACCCTGAATCCCTCAAAACATGAGGATTGTTATGCTTTTAAAGAGCTATGGTTGCTTTAATMATTTGCTGATGTCTACGAATCTAAACTATGGTGTGCATGGTATTTAGGATATATTAAGGGAAAGGAAACCTGGACTCAAAAATGCTTGGAGGATGAGAAGCCACGAGGGCCAAAGGGGAAAGATTATTACCAGAATATAATTGCAAAAGCCAAAGGGGTGGAGTTTGGCATGGCAGGAGATGGGGGAGCTATAAGGCACAGAGCAAAAAGAAAGGAGCATGTCAGCAGTTTTCTTACAGAGTTTGAGTGGAGGCGAAAGGGAAAATTGAATCGCTCTTATGCTATAAGAATGTAAGGTGAAATATCCAAAATGCCTGGTTTTTTTTTCTCATAAATGGGATAATCCAGCATTTAAGTCTGAAGGCAAAAGAATCATTGGCTCAGCTGGGTGTCTAAAGGTATCATATTTATAGACCAGCTATTTCAGGAATAGAGCCTGTGTTCTTTTGCATCACTTAAGGCAAAATATAACCTTGGCAAACAAAACCACTGGCAATATTTGCAGTTGCGTCATTCTCAAGTGAGTATTTAACATCAGAAAGCGTTAGGACATTCATGATAAGCTGCTGTTTTTACATAATCCTATCAGTTATGGCTGTCCAGTAGCTGTGGTACAATATCTCAAACAGAAAATGTTGACTATCGTAAGTTAAAGCACCATGGGGTAGTAACTGGATTATGGTACTGATGTCAAACTGTGGAATAAACTTAATACAGTAATTGGGTGTCTAAATGTGATTTGAAACTAAGGTTTAGTCAGAAGAGGTTTTTTTGCCCCCCAGGAATAAAAGGAATAAAACCAGAAATCTGGCTCAGTGACAATTCTTTAAATTATGGACAATGTGTGGTAATTTGCTTCAAAAGGCAAATACCTTTATATGTTTTGTGCCATGTTCTGTGGAGAGTCTTTTCTGTGAACAGCTCCAGACAAAGATTTTGACTGAGCTCTGTATGYTGAAGAAATGTCACAGTGAATTTTGGACCAAGCCAAAATTCAAACTGATGCTCACACTAAAAGATGCAGTCACAGTAGCAGACACAGGAAAATGTGGCAGAATAGATTAGAACTAATTCTCCAAAAATCTATTAAAATGAGTTTCGTTTAAATGTTTAGTAACAAAAGATTTTATTTGTAAGATAGGAAGAGCTCAAATAGTATGCAGGAGATTGTTAAACTAATCAGTCAGTTAAGTATTTCTGTGAGACATATCTGAAGGAAGTAACAGCAAATCAGTCAGGTTCTCATTTTATCTGTCTTAATTCAGCCTACTTTTCATATCACCAGAAGCATAAGACTTCAACTGCCTTGGAGAAGTACTATCAGAAGCCAGTGCCATCACAATTTCCCAATTTTTCTTGCAAAACTGTTGCTTCAATGAATACTCTGCTGAAAATGTCTCTCTGGTTTTCTTGTCTTTGGGGCCACAATATCCAGTCCAGGATCAGGGCCTGCTTTATTCTGTGCAGCTGTGTCTCTGAGTAGCYAAGGGGAATGCCAATGCTGACGGCAGTTTTCCATCCGTTCCTTCCTGACCTGCTGATATATGTTTAATGCATAGCTACAAAAGGCTCTTAGCTTGTCATGGAGGGTGTTAGGTTTCCCTGCTGGAGGCTGGCCATGGCAAAGCAAAGCTTTCCACTTGAGTCATTTGCTCTCAGTTGAAATCATGCAAAAATTGCTGTTTTAGTAAGTGAGGTGATATAACACTTAAGACTTCCCTCTTATGGAGCAATACAATTATCTGAGGTYCCACTGGTTTTCATCACCTTTGTTTATTGACTTTCTGACTTCAGGACATTTTATTCAGTTCTGACTGTTCTTAAGCAGCAGGTTTTTTATCAATGTCTCCAGGAAGCAGATACCATCAGCAGTGTCCAGACCTACATGTGCGTGACCTGATCACAGAATTTCACTGTCTTGCAGATGTCTTACCTCTAAAATACACTAAATTCAGTATTAACTTCAAGCCATC